CAATGCAAGCAATTTTATATAATTATAAATCTATACAACTTATAACAGAAATACAATTTTGTAATGTATAACAGTAACCAACTAACTATGGTTTTAGTAAGTAAGTATTACATTAGTCTCTTATACCAGTGACATTATATTATTTAGACATTTTTTCATTATTACTATTATATTAAAATGACTGTTTTAAAATACTAATGATACTGTATGAATGATAACTAATGATGACACAATTATGATTTTTTTTGTTTAAATATTTTTACTTTTATTTTATTTCATTTAAATTCAATGTAATTGAATAAATGACTAATGACTATGACTATAAAATAAACATTTAGGCGGCCTATTGTTAAATAGAAGAAATTGTTATCATTTATGTTCTAGTTGTAAATGTCTATTATTTGTCTTAAAACAAATTACAATTAAAATTTAATTACTGTTTTTGCACGTTACGTATACGTACGTAAACATGTTATGCATTTTACATACATGAAACAGACAGGTATATAGAAATAACTTCGAGTGCACCTAAACATAATCTCGTAATTAAATTATATACAAAGTGATTGAACCTAAACAAATTCCTATCCAAAGATACTTAGCAATAACTTTTTCTTTAATTCCAATACCATTGTCTCCAAACCTTCAAAGTCGAAAAGGTTTTTCGAGGTTTTCTTTAAAAGAGAGTCCATTCAACTTAATGTAAGTTATTGTAGTTAATTTTTAAATGTCTCGTACAACCGTCCACTCTTTTATTTAAGTTTTTTTGTAAAAGTTTGATTTACATAAATAATAATCCATTATATTTTACAACTATAACAATAATTCATTCATTGTTCCGATAGTCGTATCTGCTCACGGATTAATAGCCAAGAGCCTCGACCAACACCTTAAGAGGCTCACGTTGGACGGTTGGATCAAGGGTCTGATGCAGAAGGTAGTCCTCCTTGACATGGCTCGTATAGTGAGGAGCTTCCTATCTTTAGAGTCCTGGTCCTCTTATCCGATGTCGGTGGTCCACTATTTTTTATATTTCTAAAAATGATTTTTTTTACTGTATGTTTAAAAATATAACTAATATGTATATAAAATAAATAAAGAGAATAATAAAAATATTCCACCACATTCACACAACGCCATCTAGTCCCAAACTAAGCAGAGCTTGTACTATGGGTGTACTAGACAACTGATATAAATACATATATACTTTTTTTTGTAAATCAAACTTTAACCATTCATGCACACAAATGTTTGACTTGAGCGGGCATCGAACACGCTAGCTTTGCATTAGCAGTCCGTAACACAAACCATCCATTTTTATTGTATAGGCAGAGATACAACAATATGCCTACTAATGATCTTAATTTTACGTAAGAAATAAGTGGTACCAACCTAATCCAATCTGTCCTCCTCTGGAACGGTCTCCCATTCAAAATCAGGATGGCAATATGGCGCTCATGTCAAATTTTATAAGCTTTTTCCTATATGAATCTTTTTTCTCGACTCTACTACAGTTACGCATCAGGTGCCACATAAATCGTTTTTGAACCCGGTCCAGACGCAATGAATGAGTTGCAAAGTGAAACCTCCATACCAAACTGCAGTATTCTAAAATACTTCTCACTGAGCTATTGTAAAGCAGAACATTTCTAATCATAAAGCTTCTTTTTCTTCTTGATGCTTTTTAATCACACTGTTTATTTGTGGCAAAAATGTAAGTTTTCAAGAAAATCACCCCAAGACTTCGTATTGTGTATTTGGTAAACTTTGTATTTTTTCATGGTAATTTTATATAAAATCATTTTATGCTGTTAAGGTTTCATGTCGTTACGATTACACCAATCAGTCAAATTATAGAGATCACTCTGTTACTACATATTTTTTAAATTAAATTAAATATAATAAAAATCCAGGGTGTTGAATAACATCATTCTGACAGTTTCACTAGTTTTAGTAATCAATAACTAGAAGCATACCAATCAATACCAAAGGCCCTGGTGCACTGGAAACTGCAACTGGAGCCCTAAGTAAACTTTTTAGGATTTATCAAGTCAATAAAAATAAATATACAAATACTTTAAATATACAAAGCTTCTAGTCTATCATCAGCTCTTTATAGTGCACTGCATAGCACAGCAAGTTACTTACTATAGATAGTTCAACTCAGTTGTGCGCGCGGCCCTATGTGTGCGTGGGCTTGTAAAAATACAACTTTCATTCGTGTGGCAGTGACGCGGCAGTCGTCGTCCGAGCAGCACACGAATGAAAGTTGTATATTTACAAGCCCACGCTCACATAGGGCCGCGCGCACAACTGAGTTGAACTATCTATACATGTATGTGCATAAGTGTCTTGTGTGAGCTTTTTATATCGTTTAACGTTTGACACGATCGAGAGATGGCGGTAGCAAACCTATACTATAACGTACTTAAAGAATAGCGTTTCTCAAGTAAACATATTTTTTCTTGTGTATACTTTAACTCGAATACTTATAGTTATTTTTTCAAGCAACAGTTTAGAGAGAAAAAAAATAAAAAGAATAAGCTTTCCATAAAGAAAAATGTTGCAATAAAGTTTTAATTTATTTAACAGATTCTTTTATAAAGATCGCTTTTTTATTGCTCGAACCCGCTAAATGTGACAGTGAATCTTTCAAGATGGCAACACATCACAAACAACAGAAAGAATATGGGGGAATTCCCCACAACTTTCGCATTGAAGAGAGAATAGAGAGCATTATTGACAGTTCTTTGTCGATTGTTACTACCACATGTTCTAAAAGCAGTAATTATGGGTCTTAAATTTTATATATATTATTTTCTCTAATTTTCTCAATTTTTAAAGAATCCAAACAATACTTTTTATAAAATGTAATTAAAACTATTATTTCTCACAAGCCTCAATGTTAAATGCAAAAATTTCAAAGTTTAATATCTTTTTACTGGATCTCTGTAGTTATTAAAAAAAATATCGTTGTCTTTACATACTATAAAATAGAGTCGCTTCTTTTCTTTCTTCTTCGTCTTTTCTTTTAAAATAAGCAACTGATTTTAATTTGGTTTTCACCAATAGAGAGAGTGATTCAAGAGGAAGCTTTATATGTAAAAGACATGCATATTATAGCAGACAAAATCCGAAGATTTGTCTTAAAAAACATGTTTTTGTGCGCTTACATTGCAAACGCTGGCTAATCCTTTCGAGATATATTAAAATAATATACCTACTATTACTACTACGGAATTGTATATCTTTGAAAGACCCACAAAAAGGCCCGTGGTGGTATATGTCTATCTCCTAAGGATAACCCACAGTAACCATTTTTATCTTTTAAATATTACAAAAAAGTTGTGAGTTATTTACGAAGCTATTTTAAACAATACATTATTATTCCTTATCTAATTAAATACGTTAGATACGTTGTGCATTTAATGTAGATTAAAATTGCTCTTGACAGCACATCATTAAAATTAATATTACCTTTTGGTACAATTATATTTTATGTCATTTTTTTTTCTGTGCGGAAATCCCGGTGGCTATGTCGGACTCGAGTCGACTAAAAAACCGCACGCCGTCTCGGGCACTAGTAGCCGGGGAACCAGGTGTACCCTAGAAAGGAAATACCTGGTACGTATCTCGGGGCATCTACGGCGGGTAGATGATCCCCTCCTGTGTGGGAACCCCGTTTTCAGTTGGTGCTCCCAAAAGGGCACGCGCGCTCCGCAACGCGTCTCGCCGCCACCCCGGTCTGCTTCTGCCAGGGTGACTCACCTGTCACCCCCAGGATTGCGCTTATGGAGGACGGAGGTCGTTCTGCGACCTCCGGCGCCCGAGTCTTGGTGGTGCGTGTGTAACGTATGTGTCTGCTGTGCTGAGGTCTCCGGTTTGATGCCCGGGTCGGACCAAATGTTTGTTCCGGAGTTTAGGTGTTTTCTAAGTACAATGTGTGTATATTTACAAAAAAAATAGTATATAAGTATTCTATCAATCAATCTAGCTTTTATAGGATAAGCTCTGCTTATTTTGAAACTAGATCGGCGTTGTATGTCAGATGTCGGAATATATTATTGTTATAAATGGATTACTCCTCATAATTGCTCCGTGATCCGCACTGACAACATATTGGTATAAATAAATACTACTGTAGTGTCAGCGCAGAGTAATACTAGCGAACCGCCCCAGCTTCGCACGAGCCGGGGAGATTCTCTAGTATGTACACAAAATGAGGTTCTATTACCACAGTCTGATAGACACTCTATGAACACGGTCTGATAGACCGTTTTTTTAGAGAAAGACTGTTCTACAAAAATATGATTATTAAATAGGCAGAATTAAAAGAAAGTGAAATTGTTTAAGAATCATGGAAGAACAATTGAATAATTATAAATTAACTAATATTAACATGTATATTGGTTAACTTTTGCATCATTCTAATAAGTAATGTTTAAGATTTTGTTATATTTACTTGTGTTTGATGAGGAGTATTAAGACTGATTTAAAACCTATTGTTAATACAATAGGTTTTAAATCAGTCACTTGTAATTTTTTAAGACTGATGGTCTATTTTGATTTTAAGAATGCAGTCAAAGAAACAATTACGTTTGTTAAATTACCTAGTCTAAATCTCTTAGTCCCTTAAAAAGATCCTAAAATCTTTGAATGCTGTTGATTTATGATAAGAGTATAATTATTCAATCGTATTAAAGTAACTTTATAACTTTAGTTTATTTTACGGAAACAAAGAGTTTATTTTGTACTATTATTTGATGCTATTTTACTTTTAATACGTCCTGTTATTAAAAAGTGAGAGCTGAGTGAGAGCTGGTATCGTATTTCTGTATTCTGTGGCTGGTAGAATAAAATAGTTTTGTGCTGACAACACTATTGACAGTCGCCATTTTGCTTTATAGTTTGCAGGAAATGGAACTTTGAATGCGGCTTTGAATGTAATTTGGTTAACAAATAATATTGTAGCGAGTTATAATCATTTTAACTTAATTCATATGAAATTGACTATTATACTTAAAAAGGTAAGCATTAGCAACTTTTTGGAATGAATTATAGAAAGTGAAATTAGTTTTTCCGGGAGCTAAATTACCAAAATGGCGTCGTACTTGGAAAATAATCTAGGTTTTATCTATATTGCACAACTGTAATAACTTTTACTGATCAAAGTTCTTATTTTAGAAGTATGGAGCCATCATTGGATGCGTCCTTAGTGACGCAATCCATCAATTACCATGGACAGCAGTTACAAAAAACGTGGGAGGCTGAAAGAGGAGAAGACGATTTGAGTAAAATTGGTATTGGCCCTTTAGATTTCGCTGTATACCAATCAAGACACAAGCATCTAACTTTCCAAGATCGTGGGAAAAGATTGAAACTTCACCACTTCATTGCAAAGGAGGCTAATGCTTTGTTTGATGCATCTATTTCTGAAGAAACGCCGTCGTCATCCAGCCTTGTGGTTGAGACTACTACACCGGAAGACAGTACGTACAAATGTTTTGATATTAATAAGTCTATCACAATACACTTCGGTCATTCAATAACTGCAGTTTATCTATCAAAAGTTGAATATATTTACAAAACTGTATAGGTATGAATCAGTCTTCTTTGATTGGTCTGGACAACTGCCTCAATGCTATCGTTTTCAGATGTGCAAATTAGGGTAAGAGATACTGCTAGTCTGAGACTTCAGTAGCTCAAACAGCTTGGGGTTGTGTACCCGTTGTTGGAGAGGCCACTATGACAGCTATATCAATTGACCACATATCATTGCCACAAGCATTTAGTCATTCATTAATTTAACTGAGTGTAGTCAGTATTGTGTGTCAATACATCGAGTTATGTTTACAAGTTTAAATATGACTATGGTGTAGTGTTTGAAGTTTCTATAATAACGGATTACTGTATCCTCATTATAACCTTTGTCTTTCATCATGTAATCATTGCCTTTTGGTTGCACTTCACCTGTTTGAATGTTATTTTATTTTATTGACAAATGTAACTTATATACTAGTTAAATAGTGGGGAATCAAGATTTTTATTCAATATTTTTTCAATTCCACTTTCTTATCTTATCTTTTGTAATGTTAAATTCATAAGATATTTTTTCAATATAGACCCCACACATCTCACACACGGCAGTCTGATCCCAAACTAGGCAGAGCCTGTACTATGGTAGCCAGACTGCTAATGAACATAATTATATATTTCTAAATACATACATATTATAGATAAATATACACCCAGACACAACAAACAATGGATCAGCTTTCCATTGACATCTGTCGAGTTGGGAGTTGATATTTCTTTACAGATAATATTGCAAAATAATTGATTTCAATCATTTGAAACTTTGCATGTGTGCTTATAATAATGTAACCTTTCTGTTAAAAAAAATATGAACTCCTAACTCGACGGACGTCAATGGAAAGTGTACCCAAATGATCATGCTCATTGCACAAATATTTGTCCTGGCTGGGAATCGAACGCATGACCTGCGGCTCAGCAGTCAGGGTCACCAACCACTAGACCAACAAGCCCGTCCATAGTAAAATTAATTAAATAATTATTTAAGTCTACTATGTTAAATTCCTATAATAACTTGAATGTTAAAATAAATATTATTGACAATTTATGTTTTATTACAGATTTATATGCGTTGATGCCACCGTTTGAAACTTTCTTGAATGTGGATAAATCAGCAAGATTGAGGCATTTCTTTGATGTAAGTTATTGCAATACTGTTCATATATTCTATGCAGATGTTTTTGGTTTTTACCAACATCAAAACACATGTAGCTGCTTAAAACCAGCAGAATCTAATTAAAGCATTAGAAAAATATTTAATTTACTTATTTTCTGTAAAATTTGTAATCTGAAAATGATTTTAATTATGCATTGAATAAAGACATGGAATGCATATTTAAAATCATGAATTGAAAAAATAATTAATTAAATCATTTTTTTAGAATGTGAAGACCGGAGAGCTAATCATAGGAGCAGTAATCAACAGGACAGCATCAGGAATGATGCTAAAGGTCCTATGCACTGCAGGACCCACCTCCCGTTACGTTGCTGACATCAATGTGAAAGTAAGTATTAACTTGAGAACCTTTTAAAGTAAATAATTAAACAATACTAGTAAATCTATGCATATTTATATTTGAATGTAACCAAGTACAACAGTGTTTATATTATTTTTTAATCCAACATTGAAATATATTGTGTAAATTGGTCAATCTTTCAGATAAAACATTGTGACTATAACATTGTTCTTTTTCATACTTTATTGACAGTTTATTATGTATTCATGTCACATAAATGCTTTTGAGACTTAAAATTTAATGTTGGTATAGCAACAAAAGATCCTCAAATAGACATCTTGATATAAATTTGTTTACACATCTTAAAGTACAATAGGTACCCACAACACATTTTACTTCAGAACCTCAGCTCCCCAACCTGTTCTAATCACACAATTTTTAATTTTTTTAAGTGAATAGATATTATGGGTTGACTATTCATATGAAGAATATTTTTAATTGAGTTCATATTTGCACAATGTTTGTATTAATTTAAGTGTTTCCATGGAATGAGTTTTCTGTACTGTGAGTCGTCTATTCTCTGCCTATGAGGCACAGTTGTATCTGTATAAAATTTTCTTTTTTACCTGTACAGTACGTGAGAATATAGAGAAAAAATATATAAAAACAGAAACAAAAAAAACATATAATGTATGGAAACTTAAAAAAGTCACTACAAGGTCGTAATTATGTTTTCTGCAGGCATTTTTACCAGTTACTAATATCATACCAGCTGTGGACAAGAAAAATTTGTCAAGAAACTACCTGATGAATGACACTGTGTGCTGTGAAGTAATTGAAGTTATCCCTGACACCGACAAAATGGTGTGCGGCATGAAGGGCGTTACGCGAGGCCCGGACGATCCCCCGCCTAAGCCGCCGCTAGGTCTCCTCAGCACCGACGACTTCCCTCTAATATACAAGTATGTAACAACACGATTACCCACATTCCTAAGTAATCACATTGTCTTTACACTATTTTACAGGTGTTTTGCTAAACACGAAGTGTTGTTGCCATGTATTTCTTGTTTTATTTTGTAACACTATGTATTCATACTACAACATCAGTGGTATTTTTTATTTTGAAAACAAGGGTTATTTACTTGAAGACAGTTATGGAAACAGGAAGAATAAATAATATTTGAAGAAACAAAACTATTGAAGTTCTAAAAGAAGTTGATGAAGGCCCGTGTGTACTATTAGTGGCTAATAAATTAATGATCAAGATGTTTGGAACATGGCTTACATAATAATATGCAGATGCATTACTTTTGATATGTCTCTGAACACTACAAGAATACTTTTTAGATGATCAGTATAAAAAATATGGCTGACTCAGACAGAACGGTTTGTGTACATGTTTGGTAGGTATACATAATATAACATCGAAAGAAGAGTGTTGAATGTATGTTTTCACTGGTTTATGATCACTTTTCAGTACAAAATCACACTGTTCACCTACTTGTGACAATGATTGCATGATATTGTTAAATTTAATCAGGTCTGAAGAAAAAAATGGATTCTGAAGAATGTGCTTACATATATTATAGAAGACTCGTCTGCACCTTTTTATTGTGGATATTAGCAAATTATTCAAATCACTTACACATTTTTTTGTTTTCATAAAATGGAAAAGGTCAGTACATTATATTAGGGTCTCTACAATCTTGATATGTATAACGAGAAATATGTAATTCTGTATTAAAGCTAATGTTTAACATTCCAGCATTATCTGAGACGTATTGATTGGATATTTATAATGAGCATTTATTGGATGTTGGCGTTATTTATTATTATAATAAAGGACTTGCTACCGACGATTATCAATTTAGCTGATATGGTTCTCCGAGATGGCTAAATAGTTTTACAAGATAGTGCGGCAATCTTCAACGTTGTAACAGCTGCGTCGCCATATCCATTGGACGTACGCAGCTCTCTCTATTATTCTAGGGTGTTCTTTTCTAGGTCTAGCAACAGCTTCCAAGAACCAGTGTCACACCTTCACTATGTTGTGACTGTAGCGAATGTCACGGTAATATTAATGTCACATTGTTGAGGCGACATCACCTAATCTATAAATATTTGTGTGAAAGAAATAAAATTCAAGTAAAATAACATTTTTTGAACAGCTCCATGGAACAGGTGAGGATATAAGTATGTGTGACACTAAGCAAAACAGTTAGGAATTAAATGCTTGAACTATTCAGTTAATACATTATTTGGAGATGTTATTATCATCTCAGTGAAAATACTTCATCCATTACAATAGGAAAAATTATTTGTTTTAGCAACTTTTCACTTGTACTAATTTGTAATTATTTCCTATAGGAAAACTATGGAAATGAAGGGAGAGAGTTATGAAGCAATATTGGAGAAGAGCCCGGGCTTCAATAACCCCAACTGCGTCCAATATCTCTCTGAAATGCTAGGGATAGCTAACATGCATTGCACAAATTTTTCGTCATTAAGGTAAGTGAAAAATAAAAATTAAACAGAACAGTTTTTTATCGTCTTATTAGCTAAATTTAAATTTAACGAATTTTTCACATAGGGGCGGATTTATATCTACGGAATACGCTGACGAACTTCGGCAAGCACAGGCTAGCAAGTGGGCATTCCGTTCGGTTGCTGAAGGAATAGAACATTTCAAAGCAGGCAGACACTCTGAAGCTTTTCAATGCCTTAATAAGGCACTTAGTATTGACCCTAGGAATGTTGAAGGTTTGGTTGCAAGAGGGGCACTATATGCTAACAGTGGAACATTTAAAAAAGCTATAGAAGATTTTGAGACTTCGTTGAAATTAAATCCTAACCATGCTAATGCACGGAAATATTTGGGAGAGACATTAGTAGCATTGGGACGCAGTTATGAGGATGAAAACAAGATTACTGAAGCACAGAAAGCGTATGAAGATTGCTTGGCTATAATTCCTTTTCATGAAGAGGCGCAAAATTCTCTCGACTTCTTGAAGAGCAAAACATCAAGTACTAAGCCGTTGATTGAACCGGCAGAACTATTATTGCCTGGTTTAACGGGGGCTAAATCATATGAGATGAAAGAAACACTGAAACAGTTACTAAACTTAACAGAAAAAAAGGATAAGAAAAAGAAGAAGAAGAGAGGCAAAGGTAAAAAGAAGCGATCGAGTAGTTCGTCATCCTCGTCAAGTGATTCTTCAAGTTCTAGTTCGTCATCAGACTCTTCTTCATCATCATCTGATTCTAGTGGTAATTATTTTCTTCTTTTACTTATTAAAAATTTAACAAATGCCTAATCTTAAATCTAATAGAAAAATAAAAAAAAGAAACAGAACCACTGCGACTTATTATTCTTATTTCGCTAGCGCCAGGCTCGCGAAAGGCTCTAAATCTATACAAAAAATGGGCATTTTGATTGATTTTTGGAATTTGAGTCTTAAAGTGGTCATTCCCCTATAGTCTGAAAGAGAATAAGCTACTTATTATATCGAATAAATTTAGTGTTCTCGTGGGATGAGCAAAGTACAACAAAAACTGCGGATAACACCGCAGGGCGCAGCTAGTGCCTAATAATTTGTAGTAGACTAACTATGTCAATATGTGAGTTTTGTTTATACCCTCATTGGAATATCAGTAATTTAAATTCTTACTAAACCTTTCTTTGTATTAGATTCTGAAGGGCCGAACAGGAAAAAAAAACGTCGCTCGCAGTCGAACAACAAGCGTCAGCGATCTTTATCTCCGTTGAGTAAGCGCATGGAAATGCTCGGGGCGCCTGAAGCAGGTTCGCGGACGCACAACTCTTCGTTCAACCATCCCTACGGATATCAGCCGCCGCCGCCTCCAGCCGAGGAGGTTAACCCCGAGCCAGTTAGATCACAAGCTGATATTGATTATGAACTTAAGGTATTTTATTATTAACTACATTCAGTGTTGTCTGATTTTTATACTGTTAAATATTCTTATGCACAAATATCTATATGCATTGGCATAGTGTTTCTGTGAAATCGGTATTCTAGAAACCAAAGTACAAGCTCTGCTTGCTTGTCATGTGAAAGTTTAATTAAATGTTTTACTATTTTTTTTACATAGGTCCGTAAATTCCTGGATACAACTAAAGAAGACTCTGATTACGAAGAAAAAGTTCGCAGTTTTCTGGAGGAAACAGCTCAATACAAACGCAACCGCAAGATGCAAGAGTTAGGTCAGCAGCCTCAACCTGGTGCAGATAGAGACAAGAAGAAAAAGAAGAAGAAAGATAAGTTAGTATATAACTTAATGTAGTGTTAAATCCTTTTATAACAGTTACACCTTTTGAAACCTCCTTTCTAAGGAGAGGCCTATGTCCAGCAGTGGACTATTATATATTATATAGCTGTTGATGATGATGATGACACCTTTTGAACTGTGCCAAACAGACGCAAACTGAAAAAAAAACATCTATCTCTCTAACAGATAACAGAATATAAATAGAAGTTAGAGATCTAACAGATCAGACATCTATTTATATTTTTTAGTTTTTACAAATTGTATAGTTCTGGATACAGTCAGTCCCTAAAGACTATCACTATACAACAAAAGGATTTTAAAACGTACTATGTTGAAAAATGTTTCTTTTTATTATTTTAGTGTGATTTTTAAGCTTGATATCCCAAAAATAAGAAATGCACAAGATCGACAGTGGTCACTCAACAGTCTTGTCATTAATAAGATTGCGAAAAGAGATTAGATAAAATTGTGAAAAGAGATATTGAAAGACTGCATTATTTACATATGAAAGGTATCATCCATTACTACTTAAAAAAAAGTAAATGCACTACTTAACTACATCCATAAATAGCTTGCATGAAATGCTTTGAAACTATTATAATTAGAAAGCATCGTTGCAATCCTTCTAAAAGGTTATTTGGTGAAATTAAGCACAAAGCAAAACGTCGCAAGTCGTTGTTTACAGGAGACTTTAAAGTTTTAAACTGATCAGATGTTAAAAAATCATTTTCTCTTAAAAATTGCCAGATGTGACACGGACTATACAAAACAATACAACTATAAAAAATATTTATTGGGTCCTATCATGTATTGGAAAGCAGAATGAGAATTATGAAATGAGTAAAATCGCAGTTTTGGATTTGGCTTTATATTATAATAGTGACCGTCGATATTTATAAATTTAAATTATGCAATGACACTTCCTACCAGGAAAAAGAAGAAAGAATCGAAAAGAAAGCGCAAGGAACTGGAAAGGGAAGAGAAACGTAAGGCGAAGCTGGCGCGCGCAGCTGCTAATAACTCTGAATACAATCTACGTGACTTAGACACCATCGGGGACAAGAAACTGAGAGATGCAATAAGGTAACTTATTTTTGTAATTAAAAATTGTGACCGTGATTTTTTTTACGAAATAATAGAATTTAAAAGGATCACTTTACAGATAGATATCGCCAATATTACGATATGTATGAAAACGAAAAAGTCCTATTACACACAATTTCATCATGATGATATAAAAAGAAAAAGAGAGAAGTAACAACTACACGCTACAACCTTAACTTAACAATACAGACCTAAATTTAGTAGGTATATACCTAAGATATTCAACTTAACTTGGTAGAAGTCCTCTAACCATTTCATTACAAATGTTACAGAAAAGAGTTGAAAGGCAAAAAGAGAGATCTCAGTTCTGATGGCGAATACGAGAGGGAGAGAAAGCATAGTGATAAGAGGTACAATACATTTATTTATAATTCATCAATACATAAGAATAAATTTCTGTGTGATATTTACTCAATGAAAAGTTGCAATATCTGCCCCTGTCGTCATACATACGGTAAGTCAGGTTACATTTTGACTTACTGTACTTAAAATAATGGGGGCAGATATGTTATGTTCATATTAGATTGAAGAGGATTAGTGTGATACTCAGACTCATTGTAGTTAAATAACTTAAGCTGTCTTGAATCTATAAGATGCTTATACGGAAAATTTCTAAGAACGATAACAAAAAAATGATGAAGCTACCAATCTAATCTTATTAGTTTTGTATATCAAAAAGCTCATTGATGTTCAATTGAAAATAACTTGATAAAAATATTTAATAATAGATACAAGACATTAATTACGTATTTATTTACATTTATTATTATTCTTCAGGTATCAAATTAATCAGAAGTTTTAGTTTTTTCTCATACGCTTTTTAAGCAGATTGATATGTTACGTTCGCTACTAAAGAGGTGAAATTTATAATTATTGTGTAGGAAACAACTTACAGTTTGTATAATATTAAAAAAATGTTATCAGTCCTCTTTGTAAAGTGTAAGCTAAAAATGTGTACCATTATTTAAGCACGATGTTCTTCTATTTCGGACTCTTACATTTTAGCTGTTTTTGTAATAGAATTAATCTCCTGTTTCTTGGGACTTGAAGCCCCAAATGGCGATGAGCTCTAGTCCTGCATGTGGCGTTGGGATCTAACATTTTCATCGGCGATGATTAATAAACACTGATCAAATAATCTTAAAATATAATTTAAATGTTTATTACAATTTCTTTGTCCTTTTTTTTAATTGGCTCACAGTATAGGGTGGATGACGGCAATTAAAAATAATTTTATTAACCGATTGTGAGTATTTAAAGCTAATAGGAATGTTGACACTAATCACAAATTTGCAATATGTTGGAACTAAATTAGCCCTAATAAAAATATTGGAATTTATTAAAGGCCAAGATAATTATTATCAGATGACTGCAAATGCCAGCCAGATCTAATGCATCATCAACCGATGCCCAAGCTGACAGCTTCAGTTCACTAGTTTAATTCCACTATACTTATATTACTTTGCGGAGGACTGTTAATTATGCAATCCATTATTATCTAATGAAATGCAACAAGAGGAATTAAGTTAGAATTTTAGAGATACCACCATTTTCTAACCTAATGAATTTTTAAACAGAATATTATGTTACGATAAAAAAGGACCTAGTTATAAAATAAATTAATTTGTCAACATCCCTATTGATAAATGGCATCAGTATTCAAGGGTTTCACAAATAGTTATTTATCAAGTTAAGAGTTGATGTGGTCATAAACCCTATTGAAAATGTATTATAAACATTTTGTGTAAATATAACACCGCAGTTCGAAATAGTGTATGTGTATTAAAGTGTGAACATATACAATAGGATGTTAGAGGAGATGCAAGGTCTCGAGGAGCTGGAGTCAAAGCTGAGCGCGTACCACGTGATGGTGGACAAGGAGGTGCTGCACAAGCGCGAGGGCCGCGGCTCGCTCAGCCCCATCGACCAGGCGCCGCCCCCGCCGCTCGAGAAGCCCAAGTGGAAAATGTCCATGAGCGCCGTCAAGGACACGTTAGTTGACGCACGCTCGTATTCACCGACACTGCTTGTCAATGCTGGCCTCGCATGACAGGATAGTGGGACTTACCAATGACCTGCTCTGCGTTTTACTAATACTCTCTTTTAACAACAATGGCCGTTGTTGGGTCCCAGTGTCCTATCTTGTGTATAAAATGTAATGTAGAAAATATATGTTTGACTCTTGAAAGTGTTTTGCCCTGTATTTTTGAGCACTGAGCTTGTGAATAAGGATGTTAGTATACGCTAACACGGTATACCTAGCTTGTACGTATAGATAACACTGATAATTGTTAACAGGCAATTTTATTAATAAAATACACATTATGCTATTTTTAATAAAATATATGAAATCCCATCTAAAGTGTTAACAAAATCGCCAATGACAGTATTAGGTCCCAATGAGACAGGGCCGAGCGCATCGTCATTTTATAGGCGAAATATAACAAACCGACTGATTTCACTGCTTACTTCGCCAAGTCATTTATCACCAGTATACGTTTTCGTGTTTTTACCAATAAGATCCTTTGCTACCCCTCCAAAATTAGTAAGATTTCCTTCTAACAGTTCTCCGCAGAAGTCTTTCTATGCAATTATTTTTAAACTCTCAAAGTTGTATTTTTACCAACTTATTTCATGTAAAATTTTCAATTTTGTTATCCGCACGATTTGGGATTTATAATCTTGTTGCAATATCTTCTTTAAGGCAATATCGTGCCTAGTCGTTGCTTTAAGGCTGGGTCAGACAGTCAGCGGAGCGGAATAACGACGTGGCGTGGAGTTTTGAAAGATATTTGCACTGAAGCGTTGACAATGGTCATGAGTCATCTCAAAAACTGTCTGATCCAGCCTAAAGTTGCGTTCCTGTTTCCACAACCACTATAACTATAGTAAAAATTGTAATGATAGAAATTATGCTTTTAACTTCAGATAAACGTGTATTTCAAGTTAAATTTATTTAATTTTAAATTTTATTCCCCAGTGTTAAGAAGAAAGAAACTCCAGTACCAAAAGGATACAAAGAGCATTATGCATTTGAAGATAGCTCTGATGACTCACAGGATCCCAGGAAGGTAAACATATTTTTTGTGCAATTTTTATCTGATATGTAGTCTCCAGTTATAATTCAATTAGAACAATACTCATAATACTTTTACATACAATCGAGTTTTGTTACAAAAATATATATTTTATATATATTTGCGTTTAACTAAAGTTAAAAAAAGTTAGTTTTAACTTTTATTTTATTATTTTTGAGTAAAGAGAAACTTGTACATTGATACTTGTTTGTTTTTCGAAACAAGTTTGGACTCGATAATCTTCACCACCCTCATAAAACCCGATAATATTAACAATATTCTATAAAGAGATACAATACAAATTTAACTGTCCTTTGCTCGATGTTATGTACAAATATATATTAACTTTTTTTGAACCTGTATCGTGTCACGATAAAGCAATACGTTTATTGGGTCAGGCGTCCCCTGCGCCGGGCGACAAGAACGTGTCGGTGCGGCGCGCCATGGCCATGAAGGAGCCGCCGCCGCTGCCCAGCGCGCCGCCGCCCGGCAAGCGCGAGCCCGACCCGCCCGGCACCGAGCCCGCGCACCCCGTACGTACCCCCCCTTCTCTGTTCACTGCTTACCCCTACATATTCTTTTCTTTATAATAATTATTTTATTTGACAAACAATTACATACATTAATTATACAAACTACAAATTTAATCAAACAAATACATTCAATGATTTAATATTTGCTCGACAAATGATTTGGCAAATGGCTTCCTACTTATCAAAATATCTTATTCACCAAAAATATAAATTTACTACGCGCCAAATAACTGCGCCGACGAAGTTGGCCGCAAAGCGAATGTTGGTCAGGTACACTCTAAATGATTTCTATTGAAACGACAGGTTCGCAAAGGCAACATCGTGCTGGATAAGTTCGGCTCGTTTCGGTTGGCGCAAGAGGGCGAGACCCCCGTGTCGGTGGGCGACGGGCGGCCCGAGCAGTTCGTCACCCGCATCAAGCCGCCCTCGCCCTCTGGCCGCCGCCCGCGCTCGCCGCCTTCGCCCCGTCGACACTCTTCTAATTCCTCTGAAGACGACCGAAGGTCTAAGCGTTCCCGAAGCAGGTTCGTTACTCGATCAAACATTCGATACATTAATCATCATCACATCAACAGCCTTTAATAGTCTACTGTCCTCTCCTTAGGAAAGCCAGTCCTTAAATATACCACGCTGACCAGACATGTTGGTTTGTGTTAAGTTTTCCTTCTCTTTCCAGTGCTGTCCTGCGTAGTTTTCTCCTACTAAAACTTTTACTAGTTTTCTCCCTTAGTCGGCTCTTAAGACACCCACGGGATGAATAGGGGTGGTGGTATTCTGTAATCTTATTCCGTCACCACACCACACATGAATATGTCAGTATATTTCAAAATGACTACTTTGTAAAATCATCTTTTCCTAAATACCAATGGCTGATGATGATGATGAGAATGAACAGTACAAAATGCATAATATGGAATATGTAACAAATTTTGTATTATTTTTTCTTTATTTCGAATTTAATTAACTGGATATTTTAAGGAATAACTGGATACTTTCTAAGGAGAAACCTATATCCAGCAGTGGAGTATGAAAGGTTGTTGAAGATGATTGCAATGACATTAAATAAATATTTTTACAATTAAAGTATTTTAAACGATTGTAAAATTTTTGCTCAATATAATAATACGTCTTTAGTTCACCGGCTATCACTTCCTACCTGTCTATGTTTTCCGACTATTTGAATGTTTTTGTCGCTCAAAAGTAGCTAATACTGTGTTGAGTAGAGAGCGACAATTGATCGGTATATGTGTGGACAGATCGCGACCTCGGAAGTACCGGTCCCGCTCGCGCTCGCGCTCCCGCTCCGGCTCGAGCGGCAGCGGGTCGGTGACGTCACGTCGGCGCCGCTCTGCCTCGCCACGCTCGCGCTCGCGCTCCGACGCTTCGCGCTCCTACTACTCGCGCAGCAGATCACGATCACGGTCGGGCTCGAGGTATTTTTGGTTGCTGTGTGCTGTTTTAGTTTTGTACCCGCAACATTTTGCTTTATGGCTTTGAATTTATATACTGTAGATTTATAATTTATTTCAAACCGTAATGTACTACTGCGACGAGTTCAACGTTTTTTGATTCATATTTGAGAATGTTTTAATTTCTTTTTTTTAACCTAATCTATTATTATTTTTGGAATGTTTATCTATTGATTTGTATGTGATAATTAACAGAGAAGCACGGCTTGGAAATTTGATTATAATTAGTGTCATGTTGCATAACGCACGTTATTTTCCTTCAAAAACTAATAATACTGCTTATGCCTCGTTTTAAGTGTCATATGCTGTCCCAAAACGTACACGACGAGATGTGTAGTGCTAACGCGGCTGTGTCGGTGCAGGTACCGGCGAGCCCCGCGGCGCGGCGCATGGCGCGGGCGCGGCGGCTACGAGCGCGGAACGTACTACCGGCCGCGCTTCCACACGTACAACGGCGGCGGCCGAGGTCGCGGCCGAGGCGGCGGCGACTTCCGGCGGGACGACGGGCGGCGCTTCCAGCACGAGTGGCGCGATAACCGCTCGCGCGGCGGCCGCCCCTTCCGACCGCGCCGCGGCGGTGGCGGCCGCGGCAGGCCTTTCCGGTAATAATCTACACGTACATTAATCTTGTCACTCAAATTGATAACGGTGACCTTAGTGCGTACGTGAAATGAGGGAGTCTTTGCTTTGTCTAATTGAATCCTCGATACCGAGGGCGCGGACGACTAGTAATTCTAACTGTTGTTTCCTTATCGACGGTCCTAAAGACTAAATCTAACGCGAATGTTACGATAACTATATTTTTCTTGGAGATAAACTCTTAACTTCAAATAACTCGATAGAATAAAATATAATAACAAAAATATAAACTTGATTTAACTCCTGATTCTGATAATACTATTGTGTACTAAAAAATGATGTTGTTTTACAGAGGTGGCTTTCGAGACTTCCGTGATCGACGAGTCGGTCGTTATTCGCGATCTAGGAGTCCCGACAGGACCCGTAGGTCTAGATCATACAGTCCTGAAAGACGTGATAAAGACAGAGACAGGTAAATATGAATTTCACCACTAAATTAAAAACGTATGTTGTTTTCTTATGTTTAAAGTAAAGAACTTATTAGATTCTACCTGGGCCTCAATTCTGCTATTTTATGTTCACGCCAAGCCACTGTCATACCACTGACGCGCTATTGAGATGCCATCGAGTGGCCATTGGCATCGGTATAAATAAATCATTTTCTAAAAAAAACGTAATATATTTTCAAATTATAAGGATATTTTTTATAGATTATATCTTTTTGATATCACCACTGATGAGCCACTGCCATTCCATCGCCACTGTAAAGACACTGAGTTAGTGTAGACTACCGATATTTATACCGATGCCAATGGCCACTCCATGGCATAAAAATAGCGTGTCAGTGGTATGACAGTGGCTTGGCGTGAACATAAAATAGCGGAATAGAGGCCCAGTCGTTTTGAACCTTACCCGGAACAAACAGACAGAGAAAACATTAAACTGGTTTTTAGGCATAGGTATCGTTCAAATAACTCGGATAGCCCCCACCGGTGTATATATTGCCTACCTGAATTATTAATAAAATGAAACAAATGTTTACGAATACGTAAACTATTAAAAAAAAAAAAAAATAACAAGAATAAACATCTAAGACTAGCCAGTTTTGAAAAAAACATACTTGGGCATGCTATATTTTTATACCATTAATTCGTGTAAAATGCCAGCTTAATTATCATAAACAACTACATATTGGCTGGTAATAAAAGATTATTGTTAATTGCAGCTACTCACGTTACTCTGAACGCGATAGTCATCGCAGCGAGGGTGAATATGAAGAAGAAAGATACGTTGATAGAAAAGAATATGACGGGAAGTGGGCTGACGGGAATGAACCTGAAAGAAATACACATACCGAGGAGAAACCAGTTGAACCACCTCCCAAAGAATAAATTGCAATGTTATTTTCCATGTGTGTTACATTTTAGGGCGTGTGGTACAAGGTACAACTTGTTTTAAGGTTCCGATCTATCAAAATTTACATGAATGATGATATTTGCTGGTAAATGGTTTTTATATAATACTTGTATAAACAAACTGGAACTTGTTTGTGGTTTCATTTAGTTTTATGAATGTGTATTCATTAGTATTAGTTAGTTGTAAATATAGGTATAGCCACAAGAATGGTTTTATTGCTGTGAATGAATTGATGCTTAAGTTAGAATACCTACATCTAAAACATTTAGTTTAAACAATATTGATGGAAAATGTTAACAAGGCTTGATTTTAATATGAACAATTTCTCGATACTGATTCATTCCAAACTAACAATGTAGACTTTGCAAACAACAGTAATCTGGTTCCTTTGTGTTACTAATTCAATAAAAATAATAATAAAATATATGTTGATTTATTTGCATATTGTGATCTAAGGCAATTAAATAGGTTTACATTTCTACCAACAAAGACTTTGACCTTGTCCAAACGCGCACAACTCTGAACACGTTCCAACCACCTCTTTTTGTTTGACGCTACCATATGATGCTAGTCCCAGCGAATTATCTAAAACAGTCTTTCTCGTAGTGGGGGATAACGCCCACTTGTGCTGGCCTGGAGTAAATGTGTACTATAGTTAAACCGCCGTAAGCTTGGCCCTCCTGATGGTTTGGGGGACGCGGGGCGGGGGTGCATTCAACCAATTAGCTAGTGCGTCGCTGTCCGCCGGCAGCGACTGACGTGAAAGCATGGCTGTACGTGTTATTTTTCTTAAGACTGCTACACACGGTATTATTTTGCAACATGGATAATCTGCCGACTCTGCGTCACAAAAAGATTTAAAAACTTGAAGTGCGGCTTACAGAGGTTCTACTGTTAAATTTCTAATAAATAATATTTATTATTTTACTTAATTTTTAAATTGTATTTGAATATAATTTACATGATGAAGATAAGGTGATTTTATTAAAATTATTTTACAGCATTAAATTTTACAATTAATCATGAGAACTTACAATACACTAACATTATAATACATGGAAATAAATTCGATTTTTATTACATCGTGTGTAGATTGAATCTCAAACAAATAAATCTGAAGATATCGACTTAGTACATCGTGTCATGTATAGCCGAGCGCATCACCCGCCCCGCATCGAGCAAACCATCAGGAGGGCCAAGCTTACGGCGGTTTAACTATAGGTCAGAGATGGATGTCCGTCAGTCACGACTGACTAACCACCTTTGACCAACTTTAACTAGCTATTTTTAGCTGAATTTACAATTGCCTAAGACTTTTTACTAAAGAACTTAAGCTTAAAATTCCAATATGTTCCCTCAATTGCCACGCTGACTGTTGATTGGACTGATAACTATATATGTGATTGCAAATTTATGGATTAAGTAAGTGGTAGAAAAAAAACAGGTAATGTAAATAATTTTATTATGTGAACTCTTCAAACTTACAATAAATATGTACTTTTTAAACAACCCACAATAAAAATTAATGCCAACTACTTCTTTTTTTTCTTGTTTGTCTTTTTGACACTATCGGCATTCCAGTACCAGAATAACTGAGCAACAATTGCACCATTAGCCACAGTGGACACACAGTATGTCAAAATTATAATGAAATCACCCGTTTCTACCAATGATGTAAATATTCTAGCTATGCTGCCTCCAAAGAGCAACAATAAAGTCACTGCTGATAATTGTCCTGTACTGCCATTCCTGTAGTTTGTAATAACTTGAATTGACTGAAAAATAAAATTATTCATGAAAAAAATAATATGATTATATTGGGCACTTTATCATTAAACTAATGTAAAGACGCACAGTTTCTCTATTTATGCACTACATGTTCAAATAGTTAGGTAATTAAATTTTTCATTTCAAATTTTCATTAGTAAATAATTTGGTAAATAAAATGTGGGTTGAAAACTGTTACATACAACTGGCAAAAGCAGTTGAACCTGGATATGGAACAGGCATACAGGTAAATAATCAAGCAGCAACATTATGAAGCAAAAAAATAGTGTGGGTCAGAATGGCGAGTATGGTTGCGGTAATAAATATGTTATATTTGAAAGGAATGTAGCTTCAATAAAATTCAATGTACCTCCAATTAAACAAGAACAATTAGTGAGTAGCAGTCCTGATAATGAGTGTATGTAAAAGGTATCTTATGGTTACCTAATAGTTATTGCAATGAATTATTAACGAGAAAATAAACAAATTTTGACGCCTACCATTTTTTAATAGAAATACAGTAAAATTTTATTTGGTTGTATTGAAAATTAAATAAAAATAAAGTTTTACATGAATAATGAGAGCGAATAAACATAGTTTTAACTATTATTATTACGAGGAGAATTGTGTTAAAATTATATAAAATTAATAATTTCTCCTTTTAAGGATATGATCATGTGACAATTTAAATGTCATACTCTCATAATCACACATTTTCAATATGAGCAAGGTAATAAATATAAGTAGCAGAAGTCGCATACACTACCAGTGCGCCATCGAGGCAGTCCGAGTAAGGTAACCATCATTGTCACATGTCAGGACTGCGGCCCACTTTATTACTGGAATTGTTCTTATTTCATGGAAGTCCATTGAATTTCATTAATAGTACATTGCTAGTGCATTTCATTCATATATAACATATTCATTTCCGCAACTATACACCCGCCGTTCTGACCCACACAGAAAATAGTTGAAGACTATTTTCTGTGTGGGTCAGAACGGCGGGTGTATGAAGCTTGAGGCCTTGATTTACAAAAACCATTGTGAACACTATTGTAACAGCCCAAGTGCATGTTGACTAATTAAGCAGAGCATATAAACAAAGATCGAAGCAAATATTTGTGACTCATCTCAAACTTCTCTGCTATTCTAATGGAAACATCATTGGTCTGCTGTGAGTTAAATTTTAATAGAAATATTCAAATAAAAACACATGTGTTTTATAATATTGTAGAAATTACCTTTGCAATAACAATAATAGGCACGTTCACAGCTTGCATTGACCATAGCACATCAACAGGTGTGAGTTTGCTCACTAACACAGATACTAGTCCGACGTAGATCGCTAAGAATACTGTCGCACTCCCTGTGCTGCCTCCATAATGCAGGACGAGAGCTGCTATTACTGCAGTTTGTATCGCAAGAAATGTGCCTTCTCCCCATGCACTGTAAATAATAATACATAATAATTGTAATATAGAACATAATATAGTAAGTACGAAAAATTGATACAAATACGAGTATGTACACAAAGAAGAAATTGTATAATAATAAGGGGAAAAATCCTATTGCTCTTGTCCTTGCTGTCACTCCCTTCCTTTAACCGATTCATAGCTATCTTCATCTCGGTTCATTGTTAGCACGGCCAAAAACATTTGTGCGATGCCGCGCCAGAGGCGTCATTGGCCCTGTTAAACGATGACGCTTCATCACCGTCATTGGCCACTGGTTGTTTTATTCACGATTAGCGATACGCCCCGGCTTCGCACGGCTGCAATGTAGATACTACTAATGTGGTGGTGTTAGTGTGGAGTAATTAATTATACTATTATTATGACATCTTTAGATGCAATATTTATAGGCCCGCTACGCTCCTGCTGGCCGCTGCGACCCGGGACGGACGTAGAATAGAATAATCTTTATTGTATTTATTTCACCAGTTCAGTACATTATACATAAAATGGTAATTCAAGTTAATGACCAAGTACAAATGGCGGCCTTATCGCCAAAAAGCAATTTTTTACAGGCAACCTTTGGATGAACAAATAGACTGTAAATAGGAAATTCGTGGGCAATTTTTGGTGATAAGAAATTGTAAAGGAATCAAAAAATATTTATACAGCAAAACAGCATTTGATAGTGTTAAAAGGTTAACGGCAACGCAGCCGCCAGTAGCGACGGCCGCGTTGCCCCCGCCTTTTTAAATCTATACTAATATTATAAAGCTAAAGAGTTTGTTTATTTGTTTGTTTGAACGCGCTAATCTCAGGAACTACTGGTCCCATTTAAAAAATTCTTTCAGTGTTAGATAGCTCATTTATCGAGGAAGGCTATAGGCTATATATCATCACGCTAAGACCAATAGGAGCGGAGCACCAATGAAGAATGTTTAAAAAACGGAGAAAATTTATTACTATTACGCAGACGAAATTGCGCGGGTCAGCTAGTCTCTGATATCTACTAAGATATTTACTTTAATTATATGCTGTAAAAGGCAATTTTGGTCAACATTAAATGCACAACGTATCAAAAGTATCAGTTTCTTTACGTCGGTTTAGTACCCCTGATCAACACTTGTTATTCTAAAGTGTATTTTAGAAGAAACAATAATCTAAAAAATACTGTATTGTATTGAAATTAGGGTTTTAACATGTTGAAAAACTGTTACAAAGCTTACAGTATTTTGCCTTAACAAGCTCCGCTCGTTGCTTAGGTACGGTGATAAAAATACAGTGTTTTGGATCGATCCGTTCACTCGCACGCTGATGCCGTTCAACCAGCATACTTAACTGAACGAAACGATAATATTTCCATAACCTTAGAGAACTAGGGGTTATGGCTGCGGTAAGAGCCGTTATGGAGGATTGGCTCGAGAGGCGTCATGGGACCCTCTCATACCGACTGACGCAGGTGATCACTGGGAAAGGATGTTTCGGGGATCACCTGTGTCTGATCCGCAAGGAGCCAACGCCTGAGTGCCACCACTGCGATGGCCAGACCGTGGACACGGCTCTCCACACGCTGGCAGAATGCCCGGCGTGGGTTGAGCAGAGGCGAGACCTCGTGGCGGCCATGGGAGTGGGAGTTCTCTCGCTCGATAGCCTGATTGCGGCTATCGTGCGGAGCGAGAGTGCGTGGAACTCTGCTGTCTCCTTCTGCGAGCAAGTTATGCTCGCGAAGGAGACGGCGGAGCGGGACCGGGAGAGGTTTAGGACTCTCCCGGCCCGCCAGGCCCGGGAACGGGCCAGGTACCGCAGGCGACTCAGGCGCCGCAGGTCGCAGAACGACCTTCGTCCTCCATAAGCATCTAGCAGAAGCAGCCCGGAATGGCGGCGAGCGCGTTGCGAAGCGCGCTCGCTTCCAGGGAGCAGAGGGAACATGAGGTTCCCACACGGAGGGGGTCGTCTACCAGTTGTTGTAGATGGCCCGAGGTATGTCGGGGCACCAGGGACTTCCTTTCGAGGGTATACCTGGTTCCCCGGCTATTAGTACCCGAGACGGCGTGCGGTTTTAGACGGTTCGAGTCCGTCATGCCACCGATAGGTGGTATCCGAGGGGATTTCCGCACGGAAAAAAAAAAGTAGTTGGACGGATCACCTTTTTAAAGGATCGGGTGTACAAACGCTACTAACGCCTAGGGAGTAGGAGTCGAAAAATGCACGTTAAAACTGTTGCCAATTCCGGAGCACACGTCTTCAACACGATAGGGGATCGAGCCCACTCGACTTATGAATATCGAGGGAAAAGATTACTTTACGCGCTCTGGCACCGCGATATGGACGGCGATACGTTTTCCCCGTCATCCAAAGTCGAGTTGGATGAAAAAAGTTCGCTAGGAGATCGCTCTTCTGCTTGGCATCATAGGCCAACAAATTATCGCCCATCTGCAGGGGTGGATGGGATCAGAAATTCCCGTGAACAGTCTTTGCAAGAGACCAAAATGCACGAGTTCCAGGAGGCAAAGTTATTTTTGCTTTTTGAGCGTGCTGGTATTTACATCACCGTCGCTGCATTAGCCCAAGCTTGGTAAGATTCTTGCTTTCGGTGGGACGCCGTTTTGCAGGATCTGTCGAACCAAGGCTTGGATCTGCCATCGATGGAAATTAAGGTAGATGGAACAAATAGTTCCATGCCCTGAAGCAACCTATCCCAGTCGACCCATAGTGACTTACGCGGTGGCAGCCTGTAACTCGCAGCCGCAGCGAGCACATGAGTGTCACCGCACTCCGGGTTAGGCAACAACGGTGACCTTGTAACCGTCCGGACCAGAGGTCAGTAGAAGGTCTAACAGTGAAGGCTCATGACTGACCACCTGTGACAAACCATAGGTCAGGACGAAATAGTGAACAGATCTCCCCGCGTGATCGGTTTTGCGTGAATTTCAAATTCGGCGTCGTAAGCGTTAAAGTCGTCAAGTATCACGAGCTCTGCGGATAGGATCTGCTACAGCACAGGATCTGTAGCCATTTGGACGTGGTCCATTATTCGGTCAGTTTCGGTATCACCATTGTGGGAGCTGTAGAGGCATGCATAGATGCGGGGATGGTCGTCACTGTCTACACGGAGCCAAAAGACGGAGAGGTCCCGTCCTCCAAGATTGCCAAAGCGGCGGAAATTGATATCATCTCTAAGGTATACGCACACCGCAGCTCTAACAACAAAGGAGTGTTCCGGATGATAGCCAGGGTAGGAGAGGTAGGATATGTCCGATGGAGATGACTATGTCTCGGTTAAAACGAGCAAGGCCGGCTTCGATGTCTTGGTGGTGGTGGACAGCGGCATTGAGGTTGGAGTGTGGAGCCCTGATGTTGCAGAAGTCTACGTCAAGCGTGGTGAGGGGTGACTTGATGTGCTTGCTCTTGCCGAGGGCAGATATTTTATCGAACGCAGTCGTGACTCCCCTCCACCCACCCCCGCCAAGTATACTCGGGGAAGCCTAGCTTTCCATGCCCAGATGCATTGTGTTCTGAGCTTGGACGTCCAGAGGGGGATGCATCAGATACAGTGTTTTGGCAAAATTAATTACAACATTTCTACAACTTGTTCTGGTACCATTAAGACTTGGCAAATCAATTGTGTCAATACAAGTTAGTAACAATATGTTTTTTTTTGTGAATTAATAAAAAAAAAGTACTCTGTTATGTACTAGATGTTTATATCTAGTACATAACCAAACTTTTTTTATTAATAAATTAAGTTAATAAATAAAATAAATCTGATATTTCTTCTACATAGTATTGGAAAGGAAACTCCCATAAAATGATAGGAATTGCTTGTATGCACATTACTGCATTGCTAGTTTTAAATCAACAGTAATGTAGTTCTGGAAAATAAATTATTTTAAATTTACACATTTAACATACCTGAATGGAAATCCCATGACATAGCTGTATGCAAAGTTTGCTGTTATAGCAAACAACTCCAAATACACTCCATATACATTAATTCCTTCTCCACTGTTGTTTTTTAATATTTTCAATATTTGAGGTACTTTCACCAGAATGGAACCAGCTATTATGCCGATGCCAAGACCTTTACTTAACGTAGAGGTAAAACAGGGAACTGGAAGAGTAAAACGAAAAAAGAAAGTAATTTTTTACTTATTTGTACCAAATAATTTATAGGTTGAAAATAAGTCTAAAAGAATTTAATTAACATTTCAAAGTAAGTTACCGTCAAGAAAGTTATATTTCTCAAAGTATTCAGTGTAACAATTCTCTGTTAAAACTGATAACAATAAATATTTAAAAATGTCGGCCATTATGCTTATTTATAATTGTTAACACTAACAAGTACTTTGTTCAATACATTTAAAACAATTATTGATCTTGCCTAACAACTATAATTGACTACAATAAATATTAAAAATTACTAAAGATGAACAAAGTTCATGACTGGATTTCTATTAACTGACAAATCAATGACAAGCAGACGATAACTTAGTAGAGTTGTGTTATAGTGATAAATCTAAAACATCGATGTCGAAGAGAAAGTTACTAGTGTTGAATGCTAATTCTGCTGCGATTGTAGTAGACTACATTAAGGAATTATTATTTAAACAGACAAACTGTTTTCATCCCCACACAAAGACAAAAATCAACTTAGGTAGTAGTTTTCTATAATTAAAAAGGATGAGAGTTTTAGAGAAATGAGTAATACACAAACCGAGGACACTTCGACCAGCAGCGAGCAGCAATGAGTAAGCAGCAATCTAACGGTTTATGTTTATATATCTTAACCTGTGCAAGAACTTCCACAGCATAATCCAGTTAACTTAGTCACTAGTTTGGCCTGTCTTGGTTTAACAATCTTGAAGTTTGTTTTTTCGGTATTAGTAAAAGTTACCGCATCCAATAACCACTGACCATTAGGATCATACATCTGTTGTATATAAAAATAGATTCTACTTTAACTTTAAACTGAACAATGGTTGATTTACTCATTTTCCTAGGCTTGTGCAATTTTATTTAAAGTATTATGAATTTGATATTCTAAATGCGTGCAGTCGAAGAGTGCTAAATAATTTTATTTCTAAATTAAATTGAAGCAGATCTGTTCAAAGTTAAATATCGTTTACCATTTCATGAAATTTGAATTGTTTGTTTTTTTTTGGGACATGGTGAGATTAGCTCTTTTCCGGACATTTTAACGAAAAAAATGACAAATTAATTAATTATTAATGTTATAAGATAATTATTAAAGTTTATCTTTAAAGTGTAAGTAAAATTATAATAAATGGTCAACTCCTGCATTGCATTTGTAGTGTTAAAAAAATTAAAACCATCATCGATATTTGATCATTTAGCTTCCCTCTAAAGCACAGAAAGCTTTTGACAAATCAACACGACGTGCCACGAGTTGTCAGGAAATAGTTGCAATGCTGCCAACATCTATTTCAACATTCAACCTTTTTCAAAGGTTTTATTGCGGTAATTTTTCTTTTCTGCATTGAGTTTGTTTATATTTAATGCTATTCATTATTCATTGCTATCTTAATATTGATAAACAGTTATTGGGTTTCATAGGAAACTTTCAATCAAATTTATCTTCTTCCAAATTGTTACCTCACTGGCCACTGCTAAAGATCGTGATTCCCTTTTATCCTGTAAACCATCTGTCTCCATCGACTGCGATTCTCATTTTTAAATTCATTTATTTTGTAGTTTTAATTATTATTTTGGTAAGTATGTAATTTATATACATATTATATATTATTTCTATATGTGTGTATGGCAGCATTATTATATACATTTCAATGATTCTAAGTCTACTTTCATATAAATATCTTCTTCTATACCCAACTCTCGCTACCGATTCATACATGATGCATTTCATGTTATGATCTAATTTTTCATAAAAGAATGCACCGATTGCTTAGTTTTAAGAAGTTTTCTATCAATGTCTGTATCATGCTCTCCATCCCATGTTAATAAACTTCCTAGGTAAATGTTAAATGTTTTCTTCCACTCTTTCATTTCTAATCTTTACTTCACAAGCAGTCACCTTTTCAGCCCTTTCAAACACCTCAACCTTGGTATTGCGGCGCATTTACTTACAATTTTTTTAAGTTCCTTATCGCGCTTTACACGCTCTAAACGCGGCCATTTCCTGTAAGTTTAAGTTAGACTTAATTAAAGTTCTGTCTATATGTTGCACAATAAAGTATATTCATTCTTATTTATATTTAATTAATTGATTGTAATATATTATTCTACTTATATGTTAAAATAAATGATTTATATTATAATTCTATTCAATCCTGAATTCAAATTGGTACCATTGAAAACAGGCACAGAACTTGGATTAAAAGGCCAAATTGGTCATAGAAAAGTAAACTATTTTTTTTTCGGGTTCGCAAAAAATGGCGTCGTTTGTCAAACATTGATAGTGTGTTTAAGAAATTAGAACATACCTATCTCAAAAGATTCAAAGGTTGGAATGATTCTTTGTTGCTAATTAGTATATATAATTCCTAACTATTATGGGTCGATCAAGATCAAGAAGTAAATCGCCAAGGCGTCATCACAAGAGTAGTAAACATTCGAGAAAGAAGAGCCGATCCAAGGACCGATCCTCATCACGCAGCAGGAACTCTAAACATGCCGAAAAATCGAGAGAAAGGAGCTCCAAATCTAGGTATGGTAGGACTTATGTATTGAAAAACATTATAATTCAATTTATTAGTTGAAATATTTAACGATTAACCTATAAAATGGAATTTTCAGAAAAAGATCGCACTCAGTTTCGTCTTCTAGTAGTAGCGATGGCTCTTACGAGGGTAGTAGAAGCCATAGGAAGAAGTCCAAAGGACGCAGCAAGATGGATGAAGTTGACAGATTAGCAGAAATGGAAAGACAGAGAAGAATAAGGGAAGCTGAACAGAAGGTAATTTCTTTTAGATAAAATTAACTTTAATTTTGAATAAATCCATGGTTTGGTTATGAATAATGTTTTGAAATAGAAAAGAAAAGTCTTACCAAAATGTATTTAAAATCTGTCTACACTGTACCGCCTATACTGCCTGACTGTCCTTTATAGTTTTAATATGTGACCTGCATCTAGAAAATATCTAAGGGATATTCATGTAAATATTTATAATTGTAAATTTGGTATGTTTTTGTGGGTAGTCTTATTAGCATTACTTGAAGCATTACTCAAGTGGTTAGCTACTTACTTAAAAACATAACCATGGTTAGATAAAATGGATTTGTAAATTGAAAATGTACAGAATAACAATCTGATTCCATGGAGGTATCATATCCATATATATATATATAATGCCTAATTGCTGTAAACTAACCTTGAAGTTATTTTGCTTAATTTGCAATTGATCCAAACTGTTATAGGTGGTAGAAGAAGAAGCAGCAAAAAGAATAGAGTTGCTTGTGAAAAAAAGAGTGGAAGAGGAATTAGAAAAACGAAAAGAAGAAATTGAACAGGAAGTTGCAAAAAGAGTTGAAGAAGCTAAAAGGAAGATGGAGAAAGAAATGATGGAGGAACTTGAGAGACAAAGAGAGCAACAGCGTCGGGAGGAACTCGCAAGACAGGTAACTGAATTTATTATATATCAGTCATGTGTACAAGCAACGTCACACACTGTTGCATATGCACATGACAAAACAAACCCTGAGATAGCAACAAATGTTGTTTTCACAGTTACTAAGTGAAATTCAATTTTTAATACCAGCATCATAAGAAATAGAAGAACTAATGAAAGTATTATTTCGATCATATCTGTTAAAGGTCCAGTCAGGTGTAGTTCGAGTGCAAACAAGAATTCATTTCTTGATTTTTAATAATTATTGTCACTCACCGAGGCTGGCTGTCTCTTATAAGTAACTGTACATTTCCACTTTTATAACCAAATATATTTCATACGCACCAACAAGGCAGATATTTCCTGGTGCCTGCCATAATGTAAGTCTGCCGTGAAGGCATCTGGCTAGCATTTTAAAATTGTTCGCTTGACTGTCCTTGGCAGTCACGTAGTCTATAAGTCAGGTCGGAAGACTGATCAAGAGCAAGAAGCCCTAAGAATTTTATGGAGATGCTGCTTGAGGATCCAGTCGTGCCCGCTGAAGGTATTTTTTGAATCTATTTTTTGTATAACCACATTTGTTTCTAAAGGATGTATGTACACATAAACCTGCTGAGAACATTATATATTTTACTTTATTATGAAAGAAACTTGTCAAGTATGAAGAGGTATTAGGCAATGCGAAATCGATATTGAGCAGTTTTTATGTATACGATTGAGATGATTCAACATATGTTAAAACTGCAGACTTGTAAGTGCAAGCTCTTATAAAGAGTTCAAATTTTATATAAAAGTGCCTATACAAAAACTTTGTTTTAATGACATAGAACAAATTAATTGATTTAGATTCATATTAATATTATATTTCTATTATGCAGGAGGAAGAAGCTCGTAAAAGGAAAGAGCTGGAGGAAATCATGGCAGAAAATAATAAAAAGATTGAAGAAGCTCAGCGCAAGTTGGTAAGTAATTAATACTAGTGAAGATCGTTGGCACAAACATCATACAATTTCACAAAATTCAACACAACTTAAAAAAAAATTAATCACATGTAGTTCAAATTATTTTTTCAAGAAATTTGAAACTTTCAAATTTAGCCCTAACTAAAGTGATATAATGCAAAGTCTTACACAATAAGTAAACACTATTTGATGATTGATGAATTCTTCTTCATCATCTTGTCACTTTCTATGTATTATGTATTTATAATCTCCTTCTACCTTGGGCACTCCATATAAATAGTCTTTTAAATTCTATTAATCTATCATTGTAAAATGAATGGTGGTCTGTCAGTCATATACCTGTCAATGTCTTACAAATAGACTAGCGATCCGCCCCAGCTTCGCACGGGTGCAATGTTGATACTACTAATGCTCGAAATAGCTTCGTTAATTACCCGCTTTTTTTGTACTATGTAAAAGATAGAAATAGTTATTGTGGGTTATCCTTAGGAGATAGACATATGCCATCACAGACTTTTTTGTAGAACTTTTTAAGATATATAATTCCGTAGTACATACATTATTTTGATCTATCGTTTAAGGTTTAGCCAGCATTTGCAATGCACACAAAAACATTTTTTTTATGACTTCACATTTCAAATAATTATCTTGAATCATTATCTCTATTGGTGAAAACCACATTAAAATCTGTTGCCTAGTTTATAAGATCTAAGTGCACAAGAAAGAAAAGCGACTTCATTTTATATAATGTAAAGATGGTAGATTACTTCTGCAACAATAAATATGTAGAATAAATTTAGAGCTGCTGTGCTGAGCAATATTTAGGTGAAAATGGAATAAAAGGTTAGGTTGATCATCATCATGTAACCAAACATAAATGGGTAAGCTAGTTAGTATAAAATCTAGAAATTGTAAACAAACATAAATGGGTTAGATAGTTAGTATAAAATCTAGAAATTGTAAACAAACAAATGGGTTAGCTAGTTAGTATAAAATCTAGAAATTCTAAACAAACATAAATGGGTTAGCTAGTTAGTATAAAATCTAAAAATTTAAAAAAAAACATAAACGGGTTAGCTAGTTATTATAAAATCTAGAAATTGTAAACAAACAAATGAGTTAACTAGTTAGCATAAAATTTATATAAATGGTTTAATATATGTTGACAGCTCTATGTGCATAATATAGTTATATCTTTTTATAGGCTGAGGAGCGGCTAGCTATGATAGAAGAACAAAGAAAAATGGATGAAGAGAGGCAGAAATTGAAAAAAGAACAAGAAAAGAGAGTAAAAGAGGAACAAAGAAAAATATTGGGCAAGAACAATTCAAGACCTAAATTATCCTTCTCGTTGAACCCACTGTCATGAGTCAAAGCATTCTATAATATTATTTATATTTCAGGTCACCTAAAGGACATTCATTCATTAGTTTATCTGATAGGAAATATTCGGATTCAGATTTTTTTTTGTTTATAGACTGTAATTTAGCATTGATGTTACTAATTTCATATTTATACAAAAAAAACATTAACTCAGCACAGCATACTGACGCAGAATTCAAGTTAAAATTTTTAGGTCATAGAATTTGCACTCATTAATAAATTGTTGTAATTAACAAACCTGGTGTACCTTCCTGTCAACAAATTATTGTCCCATGGCATGGGAAATAATATAGAAAGAGCATTACAGACACACATATGAAGGTTTTAGGTGTAGAATAAGTAAATAAATTAAAATAATATTAATGTATACCATAGTAACCAATATTTTTCCTTACTAGGTATTATTTAAATATCTTGCGAGGCCTTTGTACTGCAACATGTTGTCTTATAAATTTCACAGTTTTAACGAAATAAGCAATGGCAATAATGTGTATTACACATTATTTATTAAAATCAATCGGTTTTATTGCCTTTCCTGATAAGTAATTTAATTTAACATTTACGATAATCAATCGCAATTGCATTGTGATATTTAACCTTTGCTGAAGTCAGGCATGCAACGGTTTTATTTATTACATAGAGCTAATCAAAATGTATGGTAAATTCAATCAAACTGAAAAAGTATAATAATGTGTATTGAATTCTGTAACATGCGTGTTAAACATCTTACATGAAATCGTCCGTTGTACATAATTATTAATAATATCAATACTACTGGTATATCTCATACATCGTTAAATTTATAAGTGTTCTATCGTCATTGACAATTTGAATAAGTTAAATTTATAGTTGTAAGATGAAGTCTATCCTATCAAGTGCTGCCAATTTTGAAAAATTACTTCACAGAGGAGCCTTATATACATTAATAATGTTATAGTTCAAGTGCATTATTGTTATAATAATATCAGAATAAGCTTTTCCTTTCTCCCGAACGCTAGTAATACTTTTATGGGTTTGGTTAAGCCAAGACTTTTTCAACAAAGAAACCAATTATTATTTTAAGGTTGAAAAAAAACTTCATATTTCTTTTTATTTAACATCAGAAGACATGTATTAAACTTTTGTAAATGTACATAAGAATTAAATTTAAGGTAATCATAGATTTTTTTTCGTTATTTAGAGTTTAGAAGGCCAAAGTAGTTAACCTACATGTCTTTGAAACTGGTCCTGGTGACAGTCGTCACTTATACATCTATATATGAGCAGAGAGCAATCATCAATATACGGCGGAATTGTACATTAAGACGAGATGAGATGTCCTATGCAACACTAGCGTTCGTCTAGCCTTTTCGTTCGACGTATGCGTCGTGTGAGGGGCTCTTAGAACTAATATTTCGGCAATGACTGCTTTGGCCCTAATTAAAAGTTGATAAACTTATTCTACCCATACTACAATAATCATATTTATGTTTTGTGTGTTCATAAATACAGTTTTTGTCGTATAACTATTTAACAATTGTCGATCCCGAGTATCATTTTAAAGTTATGGCATGAGTTTAAGTAAGATAAGTTTAAAAAGTAAGTGATAATGGTAGAAATAGTGAGAATGGGATGTATTTTGCACAAAACATTATTTTCATAGCTTGGATCGGGCTTTATTACAAATGTCTGCCATTGAATTAAAAGTAAAATCTATAAGTGTATTGAGATTTTACAGTTCTGCCATAGTCCCTAACTGTGAACAAAATATGTATGAGTAGGCTTGATAATTTGATATACAAACGAAACCATCTCTGTCGTAATGTAAGCATTTCATTATCCATTTAATAAATAAAATTCCTACACCTACATATACTTACATAACGTGTTTTTCTTATACCTAAATCAAAAGTTTCCTCAATCTCACCTCAAATATATGAAGGTATTGACTGGTACTTAGACATGTAATATATTAAGTGTGTAACTAACCAAGGTGTCCTTAGAAGCGTCCTGGACCTATGTTATAAAAGCCTAATAATGTCCAATTCGTCAATGTTAGATTTGTAAAATTTTAGGGTTCCGTACCTCAAAAGGTAAAAAAGGAACCCTTATAAGATCACTTTCTTGTACGTCTGTCTGTCTGTCCGTATGTCCGTGTGTCACCATCGATTTTCTCAGGAACGGGTAGACCTAGCAAGTTGAAATTTATACCAGATACTGAGGTATATGGTCCCTATTAGGTGTATAAAAATCAAGGACCTGAGTCAACACGATAAATACAGCCTTGGCCAAAAGTATTAGGCACCCCAGAAAAATGCACAATTCATGTTTACTGATTGAACAATGAATAAATGCTTATTTTAGATGGCATGCCGGAGTCAAATAACTTCCTAGAAAAGCAAGCAGCTGTCAGTTATGGTCATAAAACACCTGGTGACTGAAAACAACGGATTTGTTTTTATGTGTTCTTATCAGTCAATGTTTGGTCACTTGTGTTCAGGACTTAACGAGTAAACAAGCTTTTATTTCTAACATAGTGATTATATTGACGCGTAATTTATTTAAAAATGCCGAAAAGAAGTGAAATTAGTTTGGAAAACCGAGTAAAAATACAACTTTTCCATGAACAAGGGAAGTCGCAAAAAGAAATTGCTAAGTTATTGAAACGTTCGCGTTGCGCTGTGCAATCTGGTATCAAACGGTTTGCTGAGACTGGCAGTCACGCTAATAAACCAAGAACCGGCAGAAAACGTGGACAAGTTCGAAGCGTCGAGGACAGAAAATTAATACGCGAATCTATGAAAGATCGGAAGAAAACATCATCAGAGCTTGCTGCTACTTTGTCCAAAGAGGCTGGAAAGCCAATAAGTGCTCGGACCACCAGAAGAAGACTTAGAGAAGCAGGCTTAAAAGGATGCAAAGCCAGGAAGAAGCCCTGGCTTCAGAAGCTAACCGAAGAAAACGACTTGAATGGGCTCTACGGCATCAACATTTTACTGAGGAAGATTGGGCCAATGTGGTATGTCTGTATCTCTCTCTATCTGACGAATCTAACTTTGAGGTAAGTAAATTTTACTGCTTTTGTTATTAATAATCATGGTCAGTTATTTTTTTAACTAAAATAATAAAAGTTAAGGCAGTTTAAAAAAAGGTGTTTTTTTCTCTTTTCAACAGATATTTGGAACGCCAGTTGTGACCTTCGTGAGGCGACGTGTGGGCGAAGAATAGGTACCATCCAGATTGCGTCGTACCGACAGTAAAGCATGGAGGAGGCAGCATAATGATCTGGGGCTGCATGGCTACTGATGGGGTTGGCTAAATGTTTGTTTGCGAAGGTCGTATGATAAGCGAAAAGTACATAAAAGTGCGCTTATGCCTTCGCTAACGAGTATTTTCGGCGATACCAACTTAGAGGGAGTTATATTCCAGCAAGACAATGCACCTTGTCATAATTCAGCGACTACGATGCGTTGGTTTACTGAAAACAACATTGACTTGTTTGATTGGCTAGCGCAGTCACCAGATTTGAACCCAATTGAACATCTTTGGAGCATTTTGAAGCGCAAGATTAAAGAGCATAGTATCACATCGAAAACGGCATTTAAAAATGCGTTAGAACAAGAATGGCATGCCATTACAAGGGAGGATTGTACTAAGCTTGTACGCAGCATGCTAGCTAGAATTAGTGCAGTAATTAAATCCAAAGGTGGACCGACTAGATTTTAAGTTTTTTTCATTCTTTTTTGTGTAATTTAATGGTAAAAAATCAATTCAAAAAGTATAAGTTGTTTTTTTCCTTCATTTTAAGTAAAATGTAGGGTGCCTAATACTTTTGGCCAAGGCTGTAGATATTGCAAATTTCGATTTTCGGAAAACTTTTTAAGTATAAAATTAAGCTTAATTTTCAATATTTTTTTATTACTCAGAATTTTTTTCTTTACTTGTGCTGTAAGACCTTGCTTTTAACCAAAATTAACAATTCTAGGTCAACCGGAAGTACCCTATAGGTTTTGGGTCGAAAACCTACATGGTAGTTCCCGTTGACCTAGAATCACGAAATAAAGGAATAATTCCAAAAAATAAAAAAGTTGAAAATTAAGATAAATTTTGGTACTTACAAATTTTCGCGAAAATCTACGTAAAATCTGGGTAGGTATGGAACCCTCGGCGCACGAGTTCGACTCGTACCTGACCGGTTTTTAATAAATTAAAGCTAAAGTGTTCGACTCCTGTAGGCGTAATGTGTGACTTAGCGATCAATGACATATCAAATATTAATTCAAAAATGTGTGTCATGAAATTCAAGTGATCAAGATGGAATGCGTCTTTTAAAATTAAATGACTCGTTTAATCGATCGGTTTATTTAAAGTTAGGTTAACATAATTCACGTTGTATTCTTTTTCCCTTTTACTAATGAAGTTAACAATGTCCGTCGTTGCTTCGAGTATAATATTTTTTGATTTTGATTGTTCAGCAGGTTGGAGTGAGCGTGTTGCTAATTGATTATGATTCTTAAAATTTTTCTTTTCTTGATCTTCATAGTTTTTCAATATGTTTTGTATGTTGTTAAAACTAGGGATTCGAACCTGTTCCAGATTATCATCAACTTCAGTAATCCGGAACATAGTTTCCGACTCCTCCTGTTGTAAACAACCCGTAACTACTGCAGAAGCTAGTCTAGTCATTGATTCCTTTAAAGCAGCTTCAATTTTAGTTACGCTATTATCACTTTGAGTTCGAGAGAGACAGTTGCCATGTTCTAAAGTTAATTTATCCATAAGATCGTCTAACTTAGATGCAACGCTTATCTTTGTAGTTATGCTATTTGCAGGTTTATTGGTATTTTTTGAACCAATAAAACCGTCTGCATATATTCTTATTGTATTTGCGTCATAATATCTTTCTAATTCCTGTGATACCTCTAAGGCATTGTTAACTATTTCTTTATCTATATTAGTATTATAGTCATAGTTTGATTTTGGAACAACACCTCGGTAGAAGTAGTTGTAAGGCAAGCTGTATCCTCGCACACACAAATCCACAGCTGGTCCATATCTTGGTGTAGTCATTGGCTGATGGTAGATGCATTCAAAATTGCCCGTTGAAGCATTCTCATCCTTACGGTAGTCAATGACAACTGTAATCATTTTAAAGATCTGGCGTTAAGTAATTATTTAGAAATAGCCTAGTAGTATGTGGCTTCTTTTTTGTTGCTTGAGCGTTCCTTCTAAAATTGGACACCGTCGTCCGATCACCTTCTAGAATTGGGGGGGTTGGTTGGGTCTCCTGCAACCTTCCTCGCTCGGAATAAAGCAATAAAAGAATTGATTAACACCAGTCCCATGAGCTCTGGATAAGAAGTCAGGATCACCAACTATTAGACTAACAGGACAATCTGTTCATGCTGGTGCAATTTGAAAGCAATGCCTTACTGGGTTTGATTCCCGGGTCGGGCAAAAATTTCTAGGATTTTTCTAAGAGAAAAATAGCTTAAGTTACTCCTTTTATAGACAGCTACCTGGTAGTAAAATTTTATCAAAATTGATCTAGCCGCTTGGAAAATAACCCGCATAAAACAGATAAAAAATATTTTAAGTGGTTTTTAGGCATAGGTATCGTGCAAATAACCTTGTGAGCATGAAAACAACCTATTATTTGACATTACAAACAGACACTTCAATAAAATATTTAATTTTATAAATTTTAAAATTTGAATAAATAAAATATTTACAGCTACGTGAAAATTTAGGAAATTGATTTTACCGATTACATTAAATATGTTAAGAGCTAGTGTATATTTCTAACCTTTAACGATATCAGCTATGACAGCAGGACAAATTTTTGCTGTAATAGGCGTGGTGTGCTCAAGATCAGGGCAAGAATTTATCTCTATGAGCCACGGCGTATACATTTTGTCTAGTATAAAATCGCAACCGTAAAGTTCGAATCGATTTTTGGATACTGGGATGGAATCTTGACAACTAAGCATGATACCGATAATAGCTTTTCTCATGCCAGGATATATGACGTTGTGCCACGTTTTGTTCTGGCCGATGCTCCTCAGATATGCTTTGTATGTGGTCAAGTCCCACATGTTATCTACCGGGAGCTCTGGGTGCCTATCTGCACAGTTTTTGTATTTCCTCTGAACAGCATTGTTTGTCAAGTGGATGGATTCGTGATAATCCATAATGTTGTATTTTTGTGAGCTAAATTTTAAATAACAGTCTTCATACATCCATATCACCAAGGGATAAGTACTTGTAACCAAATAATATTGCCTAATGTCGAATTTTGTTTCGTGTATCAATAATGGTTCCTCTGGAATAATAATAAAAGTTACATTTCAGTAGATTCAAATATTTCTATACTATACCTACACTAATTTACTAATACTAATACTGCTCAGAAAGAGGAGGAAGACCTAATTATTTAGAAGATTTCTAATTTAAAATTAGTTATCTATATGAGTTGTAAAATTAATACTTGATATACGTTGACGAAATTGATTTTAAATTGATAAATTACTTAATCTGCATAACAATCAATCACTACTATACATACAGAAGAAAATAACTTTCGTTTGACATCGTGTCGACCTTGAGGCCCCTTCTACTGAATTAGGTTGGTCTAAATTACGACCAACCACATTCTTTTACAAATGTACAAACCAAGTGATTCACCAACTTTTACTTTTAATAAATTTAAAGAAACGTTTCACCAATTTTTAATCTCATTACACTATGTGATACAGACATTATAAACTTTATTTAATATACAGTTCTTATGCTTTTTAATAATGAATTTTAAATTAACAAATTGAACTTCAAAATTCATCAATAAAGCTCAATTTCGTATAAGGGCTTACATTAATGAATAAAAATATGAAATTTTATACCAAGAATGTTGATAGAGATATCAAGATTATTTTAAAATGATCAACTCTCCTAAAACTAAATAATAATATTTGTATTTTGTATAAACTAAGCTTACCGATATACTTTTGGACGACAAACTTAGTTTTATTGGATTTCTGTACTAGATCTGTAATCTCTGTTAATTTAGAAGCTATTTTTATGCCCCTGCCTCTACAATTGTGGGGTGGCTTTATGATCCAAACATTGTGGTAACCTTCACAATTCAATTGAGGTCGATATCTACATATCTCTTTAAGCAAATATTTTGTGTAGCCCAAATACAATCCTAATTTATCTTCCTTCACATCTGTTTGGAACACTTCTTTTTTATCAATGAGCAGATGGTATTTTTTTAAAAATGTGTTCCATTGCTCTTCACTGACGACATTAAACTTACGGTCGATGTCTCTATTTCGTTTCCTAAAAAGATATTCTTTGCATCTATTTAAAGCGAAAACTAATATGTTCGTAGAAATTTTCCCCGTATCAGTGAACACAGGCCTCTGATTAGCAACCATAAACAGGACCCATTTCAGTAGGCTAGTGCATGCAGTAATTTTGTAGTCTTTGTCAAAGTCTTCTACTTCATAATTGTCATAGGTATTGTAGGTACGTGGCGCAGTAACTTCAGATACATCTTCAACATAAAACCAGTAGTTTCTTTTCATAGATGAGCATAAGCCTTGTTTAGTTGTCCACATACTATCGGCCGTCAACCTATTTTCTATTGTCGTACCATCTTCAGCCCTTTCGATTTTACGACATAAAGCATGAGAACCCACATGCCATATAAAATTGGGCGGGCACTTGCTGACAAAATTAGATAGAAGTAATTTTTCTAATTCACTCTCTTTTTGAGTTTGAGTTTTAAATGCACCTTTTTTTAGCTTAGACAAGTTCATTTGATTAGAAGGGTACTTTTCAACCCATCCCCGTTCGGTTAGTTCTTTTCGTATTACTTTACAGAAACCATAAATTGTAAATATTTTTTTTTCCTTTATAGCGTTTAGAGCTAAGTTTTTCAATAGGATATAGCGGGTCGATCTTGTCTGACATCTGCATATAACGTAGCTTTTTTCTTTAGCCGATAAACCTACATTTCGATATGGACATTTTGGGTCTGGAATCCTCTCAGCTTTACTCATCATTTTTGACACCGGAATACTTTGGATTTTTTTCAAATGATAAATTTTATCCAGACTATATTTAAAACCATGTCCTGGTCTCTGAAAGTAGGTAATTGATTCAATTCGTAAGAGAGGCGGTTCGCACTATTTCTACAGGCATAGTCCATGGAAAATTCCAGTAGTGAGTTAAAGTTAATTAACTACAAGTTATTAATAGTTAAATATAAAAATTTGAAACCAGGTAATAAAAAAAACTATTTTATCAGTTTATTTTTTAGGTTCCATACGATCAAACTCCATTACAAATCTGATAGTTTCCCTCTCAAGCGCTAGTGTTTAATAATTAGTATTAGGTATATTAATATATAACACCCTTTTCAGAAAAGTATTTTTAGTTTATTCTTAGGCAAAACTAAACATTCACAATATTTGACCAGTCGAAAAAATACAAATGCATGTGTTTCACATTTTAAATTTCCACGAATAAATAGGTAAATATAAACGCTACACGCCATGTTTCATCCTTATAAGATAGTAATAGCTTTTTCCATTACTATCTCATAAGGATAGTAACATATTTCAAAATGCTCATACTTTTACTGCCTATAATTGTTGGGTTACAGTTTACTTACATGTTTACTGACTTTTCTCGTAAGCTTGCTAACGTAATGGACAAATAACTTTTTACAACGGTGGTAACCAAAACTGCAAGATTTTAAATCATCAGTACTATGGACCAAAACATGATTTTACTATATATTTTTTTATCAGGTTTTAATATCAATTACTTCAAAAGAGTAGCCATTTATAAAGCCTCAAAGCAACTGCTTACTTAGGAAGTCAGGTATCCAGTAGGAGTGTTTGGAACATCTGTTATAAGATCGCAACTAATAACTTTTGCCAGACACGGTAATAGGCCTTAGAAATTTCTAAGGATTGTTTCAAGATAATCACTAAGGTCTCGTTACGTAGGCAAGTTGCGCGTTTCTAAAGATCGCCAGTCGATTTTAAGAGCTCGTTCGTTACTAATTAGTTTAGCATATGCTACATAGAGAGTGATCGCCAAGGGGTCGTTAATTGGCCGTCTATACGGCTTCCCCTTTTAAGTACAGGTTTAACTTTATCAAGCTTTAAGAATCTAGGGACTTTGCCAGTTTCTAATGAGTCGACAGACGTGTGACGATTTCGTGTAAGCACAGTAATTCAAAACTTTACATTTTTATGCAAAGAAATTAGCAAATAGATCAGCTTTTTCCTGGACAGAAACAGAAGCTGACTGGTTTATGCAGAGTTCGGAGCGATGGAGAACAGAAGTTCAACTCAATGGCTTGGTAAGAGACCAGAAAAGTTTAAACTGTCAAATACTACAGCAGTTGCACAGCGGCTACATGGACCAACAGATACGTACACCTAAATAGAAGACTATCTGCCGATAGATGATGTCCTTTCTTCAACCGATTGTAATGTATGATTTATTGCACTGAACTCAATCATAAAGTATTTTTAGTGAATGTAGGCTCATTTAAGTTTAATCAATAATAAAATAATTAAGGAAAAATATAACTTATGTTTAGTAAATTCACGTGTTAGTCCAAAGTAATATCGCGTCGCTAAATAATGATGATATGATGTAGCTCAAATGGAATTGATACGTTACCTTATGACATGGTTTACTCTTGGAGGATTTCTTTATTCTACTTGGCATTTCGATTTGAAGTCACTGTTCTGAACGTTATATATCTATATGGCATAGTGATTGGGAGAACTAGAAGAGATGCTAAGAAAGTTAATAGGAAGACACCATATTAAAATAAAAACGTGTACTTCATGAAAAGCATTCTACACTGTAGGTAGGTCTATATGCGAAAATTCAGAATAACCAGCAGTCTTTTTGCTTTCGTGATATTTTTCAGAAATGAGTACAAACATTTTAGAACTTTTTTTTTTTGTTTTAGTATGTAAATTGACTTTAACACCTTCCTCCACAGTTGACTGGAGCTAGAGAGTCCCTAGAGGTTAATATTGTGTTTTAACTGACGCGTAGTTCTAACAAAGTTCTCTTTCGTGGGTCTGAAAACGAACTATCAATTGCCAGTCATTTGTTTAAACCTAGTAATGCAGTACTATCGTAGTAGTAAAAAAAAAACTTAATACCAAAGTAATACTAATTAGATTGATAAAAAAGTGAAATAATAGGAATAAGTACCGCATTATTTTTATGTTGCTATTTTACTTCTTCATGTGTTTACACATAATAATAAAATAAAACGATTACCTTTTCGCATAGTGTAAATATTTCGTTCAGTTGATTTATTATGATATTTAATGCACTTGTAAATTATTACCATTATTTTTTACATTTTGTACAATTTTACAAGTTTGACACGCAACAATACGTTATTGACGTGACATTGACATTTAAAAAGGTTTAGGTAATATACAAAACTGTAATCTCTGACGCCGAGCATGTTATGGTAACGGGAACATGGAGTTGGACGGGAAAAGGATCCATCTGCAAGTAGCAATAAATCATTATAATTTAATTGTTTATTTTATAATGTCTATGTCGTAGAATTTAAAAGTGTCAACATTAAATAGAGATAAATATGATCATTTTAACAACTTCAAATTGGAAAATTCGACACAACGTAGTCTTATACATAGGTTAACATATATAGTCTATGTGAAATAATCTATGTAGTTAAATAAACTCATTTTTTGTTATTTCTTTTTAAGAACGACTTGTAGGGTTCTTCTTTTAGAGGAGTTACGACCACTTTATAAGGCGTGTATATAGATGAGCAACTTTTAGAAAACGAAATCGATTTCTGTTCGTTTTTATTGTCATTTTGTAACTTACAAATGCTTCTACCTATAGCACTTAATTTCATGGTATCAGAATCGTCAAAACTTTTTCTACGGTTCAAAGGTTCCACAGACTTGCCATGCGTACTAACTACACTCGATTTAGTCTCTCTAGCGGGTAGTATCGGTTCTAGCTTATTGGCTACCTTATTCTGCACAGATATCGTGGACCGAAGAATACTGGCAGTTTCCCGTTCCCATTCAATAGGATCTATATAACAACGTTTATTACCGACTGATCTATCAGTATTTGTCTTCTCTGTCTTGCTCGCTAAAACAGTCCGATATTTACTGGCCTGATTAGCAGTTTGCTCGTCGTCAGGACGACAACACGAATGTGGTATGATACGTCGTTTACAATCTGCATTTCTTTCTCGCCTTCCTCGATGGGGCCTAGAAGAAATTCCAGACGTTTTACGCTTTTTTGTGCCGCTTTTTAAGGTGATATTGGATTTGACCACAGTGATGGCTCGACGTACCATGAGGGATTCTTTACTATTCCCCAATATAATACCATCCTTGTTTGTTGGTAAAGCGTCATATGGGTTTAACCAAGTGAGGAAATCAGTAATTATAGGGCCGTTATACTCTGGTGGTATTGGTTGCTCAGCATCCGGTAGGCAGTCACCAGTGGGTATTTGGAGCGGCATTGGATTAGCTCCAGTGCACACATGATGTTTGCGTTCCTTTGTAGTTTTTTTCACTAATCGCTTCCCATTAATACATAGACTAAGACCCAGGTATGCCGGTGCCTTTGGTACTACTTGTCTATATGCCAATTCGAAGGTTCCTGTATCAGCGTCGGGTTGACTTCGTCGGTCGAGAACAACTGTGAAGTAATAAAATTCTGTGGATTATGCATATGTCTTTGTAAAATTAAAATTAAATTCGAAAAGAACGTTTGATTCATGTCATAGAAGTCTATAAAGTGTGCATCATCTATAAATCAACCAATCAAGTTTCATCATGGAGAGCCACGCTTACACAGATGGGCAAGCTCGAAAGGAGCGATAAAACGATCTCACCGAGAACAGATGCTAAGCAATTCCCTCGTTGCTTCTCACCGAGTGAGTGAGGTCACTAGAACTCAACACCTTGCCATCAGGTGACCCGGCTGCTCGCAAGCTCGAAAAAAAGCACCTACTATAGCGTGTGGAAGTAAACTTTCGACAGCAAATATCATATACTAAAAAATAAAAACGCACAAATGCGAGTTCGATAAGTGGATATTACCTTTTATAACATCTTCTAAACACTGGGGACATAATCGCGCCGTCACAGACGTAGTGGGCGCTAGATCAGGACTGGAGTTGATTTCAATAAGCCACGGCGTAAAGTCATCAGTGAGCATGAAGTCAGCTCCGTATAGTTCAAAGCTATTTTGTCGTTTGTCCATTGTTTCCTGGCACGCTAACATTGCGCCAATTAAACACTGTTTTATCTCGGGGTAAATTTTCGTATCCCATAGCTCATATTTGCCGATCTGTCTTGATATATAGAACAGATTTTAAGTTATTATATTACACTGACTGCTAAAAAAAATTGGATAAGTGCGAGTCTGACCCTTTTTTTTTCCGTGCGGAAATCCCCTCGGATACGGTGGCATGTCGGACTCGAACCGACTAAAACTGCACGCCGTCTCGGGTATTAATAGCCGAGGAACCAGGTATACCTTAGAAAGGAAGTCCCTGGTGCCCCGACATACCTCGGGCCCTCTACAGACGAGTAGACGACCGTGTAGGAACCCCATGATCCCTCTGCTCCCTGGAAGCGAGCGCGCTTAGCAACGCGCTCGCCGCCACCCCAGCCTGCTTCTGCTAGGGTGACAGATGGCCTCACCTGTCACCCTCAGGCCTGCGTTTATGGAGGGCGGAGGTCGTTCTGCGACCTCCGGCGCCTGAGTCGCCTGCGGTACCTGGCCCGTTCCCGGGCCTGGCGGGCCGGGAGAGTTCTGACCCTGGCACCGCGAGTAACCCTTTGCATAATATATGGTGTAGGTACAGCTTCACTACAGTTACGCAAATTTAACTTTCCTTGATTAGTTATCACACCTTGTAATTACCATGTTTATTTTCGAGAATTCTGAGGTATTGTCCGCGATCATGCTACTTGCAACAGTGTGGAAATATCGGAAACTTCTTCCTGAAAATTAACATGCTAAATATCCCGTTTATAATAGCTTGCCATTGTTTGAATTTAACGTTTGTAATTTAATTAATATTATGTCAAAATTTATAGACCCACTTTATATTATAATAAATCCTTTTGACTACTATTTGCTCAGTCGATTTAAGTAATCTACATTCTTACCTGAGATAGGCTTTGAAAGTATGACAGTCCCACATATTTTCGTCTGGTAAGGCTTTATTACGATCTCCGTAATTTTTGTATTTAGATTGGACAGCATTATTTGTAAGGTGAACAGACTCATGGTAATTTAATAAACTGAATTTTTGTGAACTAAACCTTAGATAACTATCTCTGCAAAGGTAAAGACAATGGATTAAACAGTTCAGATAAGTTCTGTACATAAAATATAGGAAGGTACCTAAAAAAAATCTTACTTATAGACCCATATCGTCAGCGGCTGACAATTTGTTATAAGAAACCACTGTCGTATATCGAATTTCGTGTCATATATTATAAGAGGATTTTCTGAAACGGTAGAAAATACAATAGTTACTTGTATGAAGGGTATTAAGGGCTGAAACTAGTTGACAGTAAGTATACTACAGTTTTAACCCAGTTCCAGAAAGGAGGTGTACTGATCTGAATTCAGGTAGATATATATTTTTGTTTTCCCTCACGTCGCAAATTAATTGGTACTTAAAGCGTTTATTTTCTGCTGGATTAATTTGAGGTTAGGTACATCTTGTCAGAACAGAGAGCGAATGTTTCAAGTGATTTAACTCATTATAGTAGATACTTGTTTAAAAAAAATATAAGATTATTTTATTTTTTATTCAGAATATAATAACCTTATAGAGCTTTAGGCCCTAGGTGTTTATGTCTGACTAAAGTTACGGACAATACCTATATATTTTTGTACTACGTATCTTGTTTTCTGACATGGTGCGTTGACAAGACTAATAATGTCCTTTATATTGTTCATGAGATGAATGCCTCGTCCGCGGCACTTGTTGCCAGGCTTTACAATCCATATGTTTAGGACTCCGTCGATATCTATTTGCGGCCAATACTTCGTCATTGTGGTTAAGATTCTGGCTCCTTTTCTTTCCAGATGCCTAAAGAAATTACACATTTTAAAACCCGAATCAAATATCCATGGACGTGAGTCATCTGTTGATGTTGGGTTCGCCAAAGATAATGTATTATTTGTGAATTGTTTAAACGATTCAATAAATAAACAGTGATCTAATTACTGTTATGTTAACACTAAATGTTTACACTCAAGTACAATACGAAATGAAATGCTCCATACCGTATGTTCACGTTTTTGTCTTCTGTAAATTTAGCCTTTTCGTGTACAAGGAGATAATGATGAGTAAGGAACAGGTCCCATTCATGTTCCCAAACATGTGTCTCATCCTCAACAACATCAATATCTTTGTGTGTCAAAAACATAATATATTCGTTCAGTCTATTTATGGCAAATTCTATTGCGCTGAAGGGAACTCTTCCATGGTTCGAGATGAGGTTCGGCTCGCCATTCTTGTCTATAGTACTCGATAGCCATTTAAGGATGCTAATGCAGGCCGTTATTCTAAAATCTTCTATAAACTCCTCAAGGTTTTCCGAGTTTTGTATGTTGTAAGAACGTGGAAACTTTGTTAATGCCACTCCTGGCTCAGTATACCAGTGCATTTGAGTAAGGGAGTTAGTTAAACCTTCCTTTGTAGTAAAAACGGACCTGCAAAACCTGTAAAAGAATTAAGGACATTAGCACTTGTTGGCGAACATTGAATAAGATAGTGAAATACATGTAATTACCTGCTTATTACAACCTCCTTGTTACTAAGCAACCAGTCATACCTATCCCTTTTTGTTGTCCATAGAAAATCGACTGAATGTTGCTCCATGAATTTATACAAAATCATTCGTTCTACTCTTGAGAGCTCTTTGCCGTTCAGTTTCCTCGGATCTATGTTGGATGGCGGTAGATGGCGAGCCTATGAAAAAGTAAAGTAAAGTAAAATCTAAAATTCTTAAATAAGAAGTGTCGTTTTGTCATATCATGTGTTATCTTTGTGGTTATTGTAATACATATAATACATTGAAATTTAAACTCAGTTTTACCTTGTTAGAGTCATATTTTTCAAGCCACCCTCGCTCGAGTAGTGCCCGCCGGACTGCATAGAATCCTCCACATTTTATCATGAAAACTTTGCCTTCTTTCATAGCGTTCTCCGCGATCCGCTTTAACTCAGTCCACCTTTCCACTGATACCCAAGACTTGTATTGTTTTAGTTGTTCGGCAGACGATGCAGCTTCTATAAAATTTTAAATGTATACATATATTCCTACAGGTAGAATCATACTAAGGACATCGCTTAGAACATGGATTCCCAAAGTGGTCGATATCGACCCCTGGGGGTCAAAATCGGTTTCCTAGGAGTTGACATAAAGAAAAACTGATTTTGGGGGTCGACGAGGTCTAGAAACCGACCCTATAAATAACATAAGTTCTTGTTTGACACTTCCAAGATACTGTATTAGTAGTGTTCCATGTATCAACTTATTATAAAAATGACTAAAATTTTGGTAGGAAGTCTCATTGTTGAACTTTAAAAAAACTAAGTCAAAAAGTATGCAGTAACTTGGCTATGAGGGTCTGAGATATCAGTTCATTTCAGAAAAAGGGTCTCTTGCCCAAAAAAGTTAGAAAATCCCTGGCTTAAAACTTCACAAACCTGGCCCATGATCTAATTTGGTCAACGATACGGCACTGTAAGGACGTAACTCTTTCTTCGAGGTATTATCTTTGTTTAATTTGGAATCCGACGCACTCTCCTCTAGTTCCATTGTTACAGCCATGAGCCTTGTTTAAAACTCAAAATGCTGAAAAGAAAAAATTGGTTATGTTGCACCAGCATTATTATTATTTTTATTGATTAATTCTAAAAACGTGTGCACGGTACAATAGTCAAATTTGAACTGGTCCAACGAAAAACAACCAGGTAGTGCAATAACCCAGTTTATTTTAACCTACATTGGGGGTCCTTGGCTATCAGTAGCATCCGTTCATATCCCCGCCTGGCACCTGTACGAATGACGTCATAAACGACCTGCCTCCTTAGGCGACCCGTTTATATCGTACATAATGTATTTGCAGAGAAATTAATAAACCCAAATTACTCTTACCTTGTATTATGAGGACAGTCTTCAGAAAACTAGGTTAAAACACTTAAGACGCAATCATAAATATTATTCAAACATGAATTTGGTCATAAAACATTGTCAAAAAATTGTTACTGTTAGGTTTCAGACTGACGATTTTAAAAATATTGAGGCTTTTCCGTGAGGTTATAATGCCACAGTTTATAAATTAGATATATTGTAAAATGAGTAACGTACCACAAAAAGGTTTTGTTCAGGTTGGCTTATTGTATAGGAGAGAATTTAGTATCGCCTTGCAAAATAAAAAACACTAAGGAGTCTGCAGGCGTTATACAAATGCAGTCTACATGCTGCATATGTACACATAATCTAGATCCAGCATGTATATCCTCATTACTTAAAGTATGTAATAGGTATTAAGCCAAGTACTTGACCAATGTACAATGTACAATGTGAGTGATTCGCGTAAAGACATCTTATTTTATATTTCTATATTTTGGTTCTTGTTTCATTGATCCAAAGACCTAGGTAGATATCTAAAGTTAAATGAATATTATAAATGTATTGTTTAATCACGCAAAAACTAAATGAGGTTCGGGCAGACATGTATTTACCTGATTTAAAATACAGTACAATAATTCAGGTTTTTTTAAAGATATAGAGGCAAATGAGTAGGTGGGTGGCGTGATGGTAATTCCACCCATGGACACCACGGCCACCTGCAACTAAAGATTCACAAGTGCGTTAGCAACGCACTTGTGAATCCTCAAAAAACGTAATATATTTTCAACTACCGATATTTATACCGATGCCAATGGCCACTCGATGGCATCTCAATAGCGTGTCAGTGGTATGACACTGGCTTGGCGTAATAGCAGAATTGACCTCCTGGTTGTAAAATAAAAGTAATGCGCTATACAGAGTATAATACATATACAGAGTTTAATATAATATACTTTTAAGTGACTATACCTGTAGGTAAATTAGCTGTGCAATCTTAATTGCAAATTATTGTATCTTAGCAGGAGTCGTTATTTAGTTAAATGATTTTGCAAAGTTGTTCTTCTGTATAGTTGGGTAATTTGAAAAGTTAGGTAAGTAAAATGCGTCAATCAAACTAGGTCTCAACTTGTAATAGGCGCTAGTAAATACCTAGAACTTTGTGCGTTGTAGCAAAAATAACGTGTCTATAGTATACCTATTCATAGCTTATTACTTGACTTTTATACTGTTGTTCGATAACACGTTATGTGGCCAGTGAACATTTGTAACTAGTGATGCGAAACGGTGTAGCGGCCACACTTACCCACAAAATCATAACAAAACTTCTTGTGCATTTGTTAGTTCTTAAAACTTACACTAGATGCCACTCAAATCGAATTCGTTTTGTTATCTCTTTAAATATTCGAAAAATAACTTACAAATAGAATAGAAAATAAAATAGTAAAACTTTTTTTAAATTAACAATAGTTAAAGATACAGGAAAAGTTCAACTTCCATTTTATACGTACTAAAATGTCTGTCTTTTATGTTGCCTGCCCTGTAAAATTCTATTGATTCTGAAGTTTGGTATCACTGATTATGACATGAAAGCAAGATGGCGAGTTCATCTCCGTTTGATGGTTCTCTGTGATAATTCATACATTGGATGTCATTTTTCGAACTTATTTCGTAATGATCTGGCTAATCAAACTTTTGTGAAAAATTCGCCAAGTTGTGATAAGTGTTTAGAATACAGCAAACGTGTTCGTATTTTAGGTAGACGTGCATCTAACCCACCTGAGGAATGTTGGTTTTTTCAGTGATTTGTGAATCGGTCAGGTGTTTTCGTTTTACTCAAAATTAAAATTTTGTTCTTGCGCAGTGAGTGAAGTTTCATAGTTTAGATGTATTTGTGTCGTGGGAATGCTAGATGTCGGGACTGTTTCCAATGTTGGGAAACAAAAGCGTGAACTATTTGTTTTGATAGACCGTGATAAAATAAATTGAGAAGGTCGGACGGAGAAAGAACTCCGGCCGGAGTTATGGCCTTCAGTGAGGTGAGTGTCTTTAAAATTGTTTTCGAATTCAATAATTCATCGTTTTTTGTTAATATAAGTTAATTTAAATATAATTTTTAAGTATAGTCTGTAGATAGTACATTTCACTTTGTTCGTATGTTCTTTTTTTGATAAAACTTTCCTCATAAATGTACCTACTTAAAAATAAACCTAAAACCCCCTACTTAACTTAGTCATAAAAATATATGATACTAAATGTGAATACAATTTCCTTATCAGATATGTGTGTATTACAATAGATTACCATTAAATGATAATCCTACCTGTTATATCCCTTTATACAGGTACCAAGATATTTAGGTACCAGGTACCAAGATTATTTTATTCTATAATAGGTATATATGTAGTGTATTTAAAATTGTATGAATTTGCATTCAGTTTCTCTGATTTACCTTAATGCATCTCTTGATCTCTGAACTTGTGTTGTTAACCTAAAAACATTTGTATGTTAAGTAGCTTTCATTAATATTATATATATTTCCAGCAAAATTTTCAAAATATTCGCAACAAAAGTTGTCAATTATCAAAAGTCCTTTGCAAAAATGATCCATGCAAGGGCATATTATCACATTGGTAAAAATTAGTTTTTGTAGATGATATTTACTAGTTCAAGAGGAATGGTAACTATTTGCTGTAACATGTATTTATATATATATTTTATTTAAAATTTTAAAGTATACAGAATATTAACATTTTGAATTTAACTTTATATTGGTAGAGCCTCTTAATTTTTAGATAAGAATTTGTCACTAGTTTTACTAACTTTAAAACTTTTGCTCTTTGTGATATAAAATTATATTATTAAACCTGGCTGTATTATTGATTGAACCTGGTTGAAACCTCAGGCAAATAATGTAAAGATGTGTAGCATGTGTTATGTGATTGTTTTAATTCCTACCCTTGTACATATATAAATTAATAAAAAATAAATATCTTTGTATACAATTAATTAGTTTTGCAAGTTTCTAGGTTTGTATGAAAAGTCATTAGTTGGACATCTAAATTCTTTCATTCATAGTAAGCTAGATGATCTCAAAATGACAAAGACTTTTGAATATGCATAATATGGAACAAGAAACTAAAAATGAAGATTAGACATTGATAGTGATGGTACTTAATAAGGAATCACAATAATACAAATGGATCACTTTTATTGTAAATTATATTATTCCTTATTAATTTTAATAGAACTAGTTATGTAATTAAATTCAACATATTAATACAGTCTTAAAGATTGAAGTAATGTAAAGTTTTCTAATATCTGTAAAAGGAAATAAATTAATCATTACAATAATTATACATCAATAAAATTCACATAAAATTTAACTTGGTTAGCTATTTAATTTTTATGTCCTGCTAGCTAACAAAATGGACACCTCATATTGTGGGAAGATGTAGTAATTTATTAAGCTTGTAGAATTTAGGTTAACACAGATTCATCATACAACAAAACTGGTTCACTAATTCTGTCTCAGTTAGACATTGGATTTTGTCACAACAACAAAAAAGAAAAGTTGTTTGTTTGATCACCAGACCTATCTAACATTTAGGCTAGCAGCAAGTTGCAAAACTTCTATAACTGACATAAGATCTGAAGACGCTCAAATTTGAAGTGAAAACACTAACTTCAAGTATTTATGCTCTTTTTTCCCCTGCTGATTATGTTTTTTAAATTTTTTCATTATTTTTAATAAACCAGTCTCAGCGTGTCTATAAATATGAGTTTCCTTTACTCGCACTTTGATTTCTTTCTTGTAAATTTTGGGTGAGAGATGAACCAGTGTGGTGAGTGTTTTCACAAGAACTTTAGTATTATTAGCAAAATTATCAGGTATCTTCGAAAAAGCAAATTCAGATTAAATTGATATTAGTCCAGGCTAGTCTAGTAGCGTACACCACCTTATTTTTATTTATTTTAAATATTTTTAGGCATTTTTTTTCTTTTATATAAAAAATAGTGAATAGTTTGGCAAACTGACCAGCAGTTTTCATAATTTTCTAATAAACAAACTATAAAGCTATGATGAGCAAAATATGGGTGTTTAAACACTTCTCTGACTATCGTTTTTGGGAATTAAATACATATTTAAAACTACCTACATTTTTGTAAAGTGAGGAACTCATGATTTCATACTTAAATGCTCATGAATCTTGGATGTAATCTTTTGGAGTTTGGGTGTTTTCTATGTATAATATGTATGTATTTATAGATAAAAGTGTATTTATTAAGTATTCTATCAGTCAACCTATGAAACATATTATAAGTATGATATAAATCACTTTGTTTCATTTCACTTTATGAACTTCTGTTTACTTTATGAACTTTAGAATAACTAACTTTAGAAAATACTTGTAAGTATTTAGCATGATAATCTGTGATTATGATGCTATATTACAAGATTATCTACCAAAAGATACCTTGTGAAAAACCATAAAAAATGAATAAACCATATAAAATATAAGTAGGTATATCCTGTAATAACAATTCTCTGTTTAACTGCACTATTTATGGTTACGCTTCAAAAATCTTTTAAATTAATATAATCCAATCAAAGGGATGAAAAACAATATATACACTCTTTTTCTTAAGGGTAATTTGATATAGAAACTCATTAGTAAGCACAT